ATTTTTATTTAAATAATTTCACAAGGCTAAAAGAAATCTTTCCTGACCACACATTCTGCTATCTGGTTTGGACAATATGTGCATGGCAGGATCTTTGTGAGGTGATTTCAATGTTTTTTTGGTCTGGACAAAAAGTAAATAATGATTACATTACTTTCCCTATTTTACAGGTGGTAAAAGGAGGGTATGGGACAAGTGACTGGTTTCCGATGACAATGAAAATTAGAGCTGGACCCACACCTGGGTCATCTTGCATCTAGGTTGGCTCACTGTGCCTGGCATAGATTTTCCACAGAGCCTTTGCATCATCTTGGCTCTGGTAGTTTCAGACAATTGCTCATCTATTTTTAGCAGGCAAACCCACGGGGGAAGCGAATGCTAACAAATGAAAGGAAAAGAATATAAGATACAAGGACAGAAGGACTGTCAGAGGTGAGACAACAGTTAAGTCAGAAAGGCTTGTAAGAGAAGTTGAGGGCAACATTGCAAGGATAGCATTTCAGTGGTAAAATCCACTTTATTCCTGATAGCCCTTGTCTTCCACATTTCAGCCCCTTCCTCTTCTGCATCTCTGAGACATCTTATTTTTTTCTAATGATATTTATTTGATCTCTCTCTGCAGCCACATACACTGGCAATCACAGCCTGGCCCGACCCACTAAACTGTAAACTCTATAAAGGTACAGTCAGTGTTTTGCACAAATTTGTTTCCTCCACTAAATTTTGCTTATTTGTTCAATGAATGACTAAACGAATAAGAAAATATGCACAGCTAGAGTGACCCAAAAAAAGACAGCCTATTTTTATCTCCTGTTTGAAAAAAGTATTTGGTCCCTAAAATTTGTCTTTGAAAACCTGAAGAAATTTCATCATTATGTTAGAGACATTAGTGTTTGAGTGAACAAATAACTACAAATGATGGACTTTGCCTTTTGTGAAATTATCCTAAGGGAGGGCCAGAGAGGAGCTGCAGGTTGCCCTTTATGTGTGGCATTTTAGTGTGCTTGACTTTGGGGATGGAGAGATGAAAAGGCTGGTGAAGCTTGGCTTTGGGGTTGATAAAGTTGCACCCACTCAGAATTATACCTGGTTGGAAATACACCTGCTCTGAAACTGTACTGCTGTAGCTTTTCATTTTATAGACAGAGAAATTTACAGTCAAGGGAGTGTCTTGACCAAAGCCACTAGCCAAATGGTGTTATAGCCCCCAGACTAAATAGTCTACAAATACAGTAGTAAAGTGTGTCAAAGCTTTCTGATGAGTACCTGGGTTAGAATCTCAGCCATTTAAGTCATTAGTAAATGACACAGTATCACTCGTATAAGATAAATAGAGGCTTCTAAACTAATCTGTGACAAGTCAGCACTGAAACTTAAGTAAAAACAAACCTTTAGGCTGTGCTTCACAGGTTTTTTGCAATGTTCAGTCTAAATAAACATTGAAGACTTGCCTCTGCTTTGTAGCCCTGACTTGATGGGCAGAGGATAGACAGTTTTCAACTCTACCCGTAAATGCTGCCTAAGAATACACTTGGAGACACAGGCATTTCTGCTTTGAGCATGAGATGCCGCCCTGTTCTTTTGAACATTCCCGTTACCAGGTATAGGCAGAAGAGACCAGAGTAACAAGCAAGGCTCCCCTTTTGCTCAGGAAAGAGGAAAGGACCTTTCTTTCCACTGCTGCCTTGATACTAATTCATTAACTTTTTTTTTTTTTTTCAGGCAAGTTTCATTCAGGTACTTTGGGACAGGGCAGTGAGTCAGAGGTTGGCATCAAAACCAGAATAGAAGCCATAGTTCCCCCCTTGGGATTCAACTCCGGGCTTTAAATTCCCAGATCACACAACTTCCTAATTGGAAAGAAATGTTCTTAAACAAGGGTGAGGGCTTTGCTGGAGCCTGACAGTGACTAAGAAGATTGGTCTAAAGACTGTCTAATGGAAGATTTACACGGCGCAATGATTGCTAAAAAGTATTTTCACCCTGTGGTTTACAGCTGAATATAAATAAAATATCTATCCTTGAGCAAGCCCATCCCAATTGCTGTAGATATGCTTTATTCAATGAAATTAACTTTGAAATGACATTCAAGCAGCACTTTCCTCCCAAAGTGCCTTTGTTTTCGGCAAGATCTGCTTATTGAGGAGCTGGCTGATTCACAAGGTTCTTGTGTAAACTGCTTGTTTCCCAGACCCAGCCCGGGGACCGTTGGAGACGTTTTCTCTCATCTTTTTAGCAGAATCGGGTAGCTCTCACATTGCATCCGCTTAACTGTGGACCAAATGGCACTCGCAGTTCAATTCAAAATTATCTAGGGTGCTTACTCAGTAACCGGGATAAATACAATGCGCCAATTTAAGTCTCACTTGCTGAAATTCACACTACTGAAGGCTAACTCCTGAGTTGGGGGAAGGGGATTGTTGTTTTATTATTCTCTTTCAAAAGCCAAGACATTGCGTTCATAAAAAAGCGGCCCTTGGTTTAAATGCGTCAAGTCCGAAGTTGCTGCCCCCCCTCTAGGGAACAGGCACGCAGGCGCGGGCACGCACACGTGGACACACACACACACTCACACGCGCCCGCCCACACCCCCTTCCGTGTGACTCGCCTGCGGGATTTATGGGCTTTGCCACCACGGATTACTGTCAGGTGCAGAAAGCAATTCTTTGTTCTGTGGGGATCTTCCTCCCCCCGGATTCCACTGTTATGTACGGGTCACGTGAGCGCGGGGCCCCGCCAGGCGGATGAGGGGGGTCCCCAGCGCCGGACACAAAGGCTCGGCCTGGCCAGCGCCGCCCGGGACGCCTCTCAGCTCCTGCGACACGCGTGAAATTGGCCCAGACCTGCCTGCGACTGAGAGGTTCCTTTAAGAAACGTTCTGTCATCTTTGTAAAGAAATCGGTCTTTCCTCCAACAGGGAGAGCCCCGGCGCAGGGGCCCGGTGGGGGCCGGATTTCTGAGCTGCGGTACAGCAGCCAGGAGAGAGCCAATCAGCCTGGAACCGTCGAGGCACTGAGGACTCCTCGGACAGGGCGCATTCCTGACGCGCTAGCCCAGCGAGTTATTAGGCAGATCCAGAGCCTCCCAGCTACCCCAGCAGGAGAAATCGGACCCAGGGCCCTCAGCCCTCCCCAGGGGAGTGGGTACAGTGCGCTTTGCTTTGCTGCCTTCCCACCTGCAAGGCTGGCGCCCGAGCTCCTGCCTCCCGCAGCGCCGTGAGTCCGCAGCCGTAGCCCTTTCCAGGGCCAGGAGCAGGATGAGCAGCCCTTGGGCATACAATTTAGCGGGGGGGGGGGGGCAAAAATCAACAATCAAAATAAGCATTTTATTGCAATGCTCTAAAAAATTAATACAAAAGACCATGTTGAACAAAGTACTAAATTTTATAAATAAAAACAGGACCATTGCAGTGCCGTATTGAGATATTTTGAGACCACAGGCAAAAGCGGCGCCGGCAGACCCCCGGAGCTGGCTCGGGGTGTCAAGGGCACTGGGAGGGGAGCGCAGGTCGAAGGCCTCGGAAGTGGAGTCTCTGCAAGCCCCCACTGGGGAGCTGACGGGCGGCCCCGGGGCTGGAGGTGAGCGCCGCGCAGAGCCGCTCCTCCGGGAACAAAGGCGGAGAGGAAGGAGCGAGGGCAGGGCTGAGCTGGGGCGGGAGGGGCCCGGCGGGTTCGGCGGCCCTCGTGGCCTCTCTCGGCTTCCACGCGCGACCTGAAATGGAATATCTGACCCCGCCGCTGCAGAGGCTGCCGGCGAGTCCTGCACTTCCCTCGCTTGGCGATTAATTCTCACTAACAAGACTTGGCAAGATGTCGGGTGAATGAATCTGGCTTCAGTGAGGGCCCATCGCGTGCGCACACAAGCCCCCTGCCAAAAGCGGCCTCTGGGAAATTAAATGCATAACTAAAAAGGGGCGGGGGAGAGGAAATGCTTTGTGACCTGGAAAGAGAGATGCAAAGAAACCTGAATGGGCGCCAGCGTTCACTAAATCCTTTCAAAAGGTCGCTCTTTGCGCGTACATTTTTCAGGGTCTAGCTGTACGACAAATGTATACCCTGTTATTTCCAGAGAAGGCAATTCACAAGCGTGCAACATGGGGGCGAGGGCTTCCCCTAAAGCTGAAAAACGTCGCTCCCCACCCCCACCCCCAGGCTTAAACATCTTTTACGAAACGTGGGCCGGAGGGCCGCCCAGGTCTCCCCGGTAGAAGCCACGTTCCGGCAATTAATGCCTCCCTCCGGGTGGTAAAGCACCAAACCCCACACCTCATCCCTATTCCTGGCCTTCGGGCGGGAGGGCTGTCTTTCATCTTCTAAATTGGGGTTTGCCCACGTTCCTCGGGAAACCGTAAAGCTGATTTATTGGCTTAAAGATGGAAATCGATCACGCTAATGCGTAAGGTAACGTCTGAGAAATCGCATTTTAAAAAACGACTGGCCGGGCCGAAAGCGCACGGTAAGTATGGGGCGAGGAGGTCCCAGGCCCTGCCGGGCCAGCAGCGATGCCTGGGTGCTTCCGAGAGACCTCCGAGACAGCTGGGAGCCGGGAAAACGAAGAGGGATGAAACCTCACACCCGAGTCCCGGCCGCGGCAAGACCGCTTGTCGGCGGGCTGTTCTCGGCAACGAAAGCCGAGCGGCGTCGGGCAGAGCGCGCGGCTGCGGCCGGGGGCCGCGGAAGACAGAACGAGGCCGCCGCGCTCCATTCACAAGGTCCGGGCGCCACAGCTCCCAGGCGGGTCGGAGGCCGCCTCCCTCTCTCGGTAGGTCTCAGTTTTATGAATGGGCCCGGCCGCGAGCGCCCTGTTTACTCCGGTCTTTGTGACGTCGCGGCCCCGTGACCCGGCGCGAGCTGCTGCGCTCCATTCACGAGCCGCGGCGGGGGCGGGGGAGGCCAGGCCGGCGGCCCGGAGCTGGGGGCGGCGCCAAGCCGAGAATGGAGAGAGGCGGAGTCTCGGGAGGTAGTAATGAATCTCGCCTCCGCCGGGAGAGCGGAGGAGCCGTAATAAGTCTTTAAGCCGAGGAGGGAAGTCTGGTTGGGGCAGTGCGCGGAGCTCAGGCGGAGCGCAGGAAACGGCAGTGCGCGCACGGGCGGCGGCGGAGCAGCGCAGCCGGCAAAACACACTCCGGGCGATAGCAGAAGGGCGCCGGTGTCCTCTCCCGTAAACACACTCCCCTCCCGCCACCTCCCCTCGCGCCGCCCGCCCGCCCGCCCGCCTTGGCGCCCGCGGCCGCTCGGACTGCTATGTAACTGCGAGGCTGCGGGAGGAAGGGACTGGGGAGAAGAGGTTGGCCCGGGAGCCTCCGGGGGCCGAGTTGACCGGCACTCGTGCAAGCGCCTCCGCTTAGCCCTCGCTCGCTCGCTCGCCCCTTCCTATAGCCTCCTTGGCCCGGGCGCTCTTCGCTTCCTCGCGTGCCCAGCAGCTGCGATTCCCGGCCACCATGGTGACGATGGAGGAGCTGCGAGAGATGGACTGCAGTGTGCTCAAAAGGCTGATGAACCGGGACGAGAACAGCGGCGGCGCGGTTGGCAGCGGCGGCCACGGCGCGCTGGGGCTGCTGAGCGGAGGCAAATGCCTGCTGCTGGACTGCAGACCGTTCCTGGCGCACAGCGCGGGCTACATCCGAGGTTCTGTCAACGTGCGCTGCAACACCATCGTGCGGCGGCGGGCCAAGGGCTCTGTGAGCCTGGAGCAGATCCTGCCGGCCGAGGAAGAGGTGCGCGCCCGCCTGCGCTCCGGCCTTTACTCGGCAGTCATCGTCTACGACGAGCGCAGCCCGCGCGCCGAGAGCCTTCGAGAGGACAGCACCGTGTCGCTGGTAGTACAGGCACTGCGCCGCAACGCCGAGCGCACAGACATCTGCCTGCTGAAAGGTAAACGTGGACCCCGCGGAGCGAACTGGAGGGGAGGTGTCGGGGGCCTGGCGGCCTGAGCCTTATTTGGCGTGGAAAGGGGTACCCGGGTGACCCCGGGCTGCCAGGATCCCGGTGCGCTGCTTTGTGCGCGTTGCGGTGCGCGGGTGCGTGGCTGTGCGAGTGCAAGCTCCCCGTCCTCCGGGACTGTGCGGGCGCGTTTCCCTGGTCACCTGCAGGTCCTCCCGCGTCCTGACGATACCGCGCTTGCTTACACTCGCTAAGGGTTCTGGCGTGGAGAGCAAGACGACTCCTCTCCTCGGCCTCTCTTTGAATTTCGGAAAGTGCTCCGGGTGCGGACGGGGACAAGATAGGCCGGCTGGCTCGGGGAGTTGGGGCCAGCTACCGAGTCTCATCCCGAGAATAGCAGCGTTGGGGAATGGGGGAAAGGGGGAAAGGAGTGAGCGCCACAGTGCGATTGGCTCCTCAGGTTCGCCCTTGGTAGGAACGAAAATTGGATGGCAAACTGTCAGGAGCGTTGCTTGTGTTGCCGCCCGCTGCCCAAGTCCGAAGTCTCCTGGAAGATGGCCAGCTCCTTCCGCCGCGGCCTAGAACCCGGCTGTGGGAGCGGGAGACTGGAGGGGGACTGGATGTCTAGGGGACGCCGGGCGGAACCGTGCCTTGCTCCCTGCCAATCCAGGCAGCGGAGAATTACGACCTTTTGTTTAGAGACACCGTTCGCGAACATCTGATGGCGGCGCGTGTCCGATTTAAGTGAACCCTAACGAAAATCTTGGCGCGGGGTGTGTGTAGGGGTGTCTAATCTGGCGGTCGGAAACTCCGGAAGGACAGCGTGCGATCTTGTTCGAGTCTCTGGAGGGACTTCGCGGGCCGCACCTGCCGGGCGGGCCGGCGGGCTGCATTTGCTGCGCAGCGCTGGGTGCGGGCGCGCGGGACGTGGGGTCGGGGCGCCCCCTGCCGCACCGCTCCCCTCCTCCCGCGGGCTGCATTCCGCGCATTCTTTTGCCCGGGTCGGGTCTTCGTTTCCGAACCCAGAGGCATTTCAGACTCAAGTCCTCAAAGAGCCGCAACTCTCCCTGCTGGCGCCCTTCGCCCCCTCCTTTCCTCTCCGGACCTGTGCGACCCAGAGGAAGGGAGATGGGGGCGGAAACCTCCCTCCCGCCCCTTCCAAAAAGCACAACAAGACTGCTCAGTGCGGGTGAGCCGGGCTTGCCCAGCTAGACAGCGGGGGGCTTTGTTCTCGGCAGTTGTTTCCTGACCATTTGACCTGTCAGCTGCTGGGGAAATGCTGCTGTTGACCTGTGGTTGAACTGTTAAGGCGATTTTGCTGATTTTTCTTTCTTTTTCCGTGAGGGCCGCCTTTTGCATCTCCAGTTGAGCTCAGACCCTCTCCCTTTAACTTAAAGCGCTTTAGGAGCGGGTGCCTGGAAGGGGTTTGTCCCGGAATGTCTGGGCGAGGAAGGGTTGACCTTGCCCACCCGGGCCCCGCACTCTCACTCGCAGCATCCCCGGGCGGCCGGGTCTGGCCGGGACCACTAGGCGGGCGTCTGCGCTATTGTTAGGGCTCCTCTCCGCCTCTGCCCGGCCTGGTGCTGGCGCGGGTGGGCAAGCCGAGAGGTTTTCCTCCTGCACGCAGTCCCCTTCGGGAGGAGCGGCTGACCATGCTGCGCCCAGTGCCGGCAGCCCTCGAGGGCCTCCTGGTCCCCGACCCTGAATCCAGGACCGGCAAGAACGCCTCAGGGCCAAGCTGCCACCAGCCCCACATGGTGACAGGCAGGATTTTTTTTTTTTCTCCTAGAAGAAATCTGGAGGACGCCCGCCCCGGAGCAGCAGCTTGGCCCTAGGGCTTCAAGGAGCGCCTGACACTTGGGCCCTGCTTCCGGGGCGGGAGGCATATTTTCAAGGTGCTCCCTCGGAGACCCTCGAGCCAGACTGGTTCTGAGAACCTCCCCGCTCTGGAGTTTCAGGGAGAGGTAAACACTGACGGACAGACTGGGTGGAACTGGCCGCCTGGGGCTGAGAGTCCATTGGTGAGTGGTGCGATTCCTGACTTGCGGAAAAGAAGCGTTTCTTGCGAGGCCTGCCTCGCTGTTTGTCCCAGTGGGGCAGCAGGAGCACCCCTGCCTCTCAAGGGCCGCGAGCTTCCAGATGGATTTGCAGGGGTCTAACCCTGGGCCCCAAACTTGCCAGGATCCTCCCACCCCAGTTCAGCCGACCTAGAGAGGGAGCACGGTTCAAAAAGTCGGAGGCGGGGGTCCAGGCTTGTTGAGTAGTGCAGGACAGCAGCGCGGCTCACTGGGCCTTGTTTACTTGGCTTCTTTTTGTGTGCGGGCAGAGCAGAGCTGTTTTTAAGGCAGTTCCTTTCCTCCTCTGTCCTGGCCTGGGGGCTAAGGAAAGGTGACCCTGGAGAGGGGGAAAGAAATCGCCAGTGTGCTGCCCACCCCTGTGGGAAGGTGCAGTCTGGCCAGGAAAGCTCGGGCTGTCCCCAGAAACGAGGCTTGCACGTGGAGAAAGCACTCCTGTGGAAGACATGTGGCTTCCTGAGCGCAGTCCATAGCCCGGGACCTGAAGGGGAATGAAGCAAGGGAAGAAAGAGAAAAAGCCTTTTAGGTAATCTTAAGTAAATGGGCGACTGGGTTCCCACCGGAGTTGCTCTTTTTATTTTCTGGCTGGGAACTGAGGACACGTGTGTGTCTCATGGTCCCTGCCGGGTGGACTTGGAGGCAGAGGGGCAGGAGGGACAAGGGGCACATCCGGTGGTGGGGGGTGTCTGCCTTCCATGGTGTGTGCCTGGGGACAGTAAAAACAGCAGGTTATTTGTAGACATGATGTCATCTTTCCCAGAGAAAAATTATCCAATAATCAACTGCATTTGATAACCCGGTTCACTTTGAAACAAAGTGATTGGTTACTTGTTTCGGGGAGCTGGTAACTGATCCCACAAATAAGAATTAGAAAAGACGAGTAAAAACTTTCCTGAGCACCCGGAAAGCTTTGGCTTACACTGCATACTTGCTAATGCTAACCAACTTGTGTTAAAAGAAGTAACAAAAATTTTACCATATTTTATTTTTTTCTAGTAAGAGATTCCCGTTGGGGTCATTTTTAAAAAAGTTCTTTTAACTTAAAGTCCTGTCAGGCATCTTTAGGGACAGTTTAGAAACTTAAGTTTTTCAGCTATTATGACAGTGCATGCCTCTTTTGAAATCCCTTCCTGTCCGTAAATCTTTGGGTTAAGATTCCCCTTGGCCTTTAAAATCAAACAAACAGAAAGCATGACAAAAATGTTCTCACCGTAAAAGAAGTCATTCTTTAACCCAGGATCCTTAAATAACAGATTAATCTATTACACAAACAGATTTCAGGTCTAAAAAATGTTATCTCACTCCCCTCTTGTCTAGAATTCACCACCTGACTTTTGTCAGTTCTTAATTGAAATCCTAATTGCAAAGCTGTCCTGGAGGAGCCTTTCAGATCAATTGGGAAGGTCATCCAGATCGGTGGTAGGGAACCTAGGAACCTAAGGCTGCAGAGGGCTGTTTGTATCCTTGAAAGGTCTAACAGGTTTGCTGCCACTGATGTAGATATTCTGGCCTCTCCCTTCAGCTTGGAACGCTCCTGTATCCTCTCCTTACAGTCCTGGGCCTGACCATGTGTTGAATTGGAAGGGGGAGGGGCACTCTACAAGCAGCCTGGTGACTCTGGCCACTTTTTCTGTCTTTTTCTTCTCTGTTAGCATCTCCTGCTATTTCAGTGGCATAGCTGATAGCTTTCCTATCTTTTATATGCAAAGGGGAAGTGCAGGGTTTCTGTTTGCAAACATACCACACGTCTCTGTCAGCCAAGGTTTGGGAACGTTTGCATGATAAAATGGTAAATCTGAAAGATTATTTCCAACCCCTGTTATTATTTGTTACGTAATTACAACAAATGAAGCAAATCCACCGTCAGGCAGGCATCACAAGAATTGTAGTTTTCCAGCTAACAGGAGTGAGTAAAATCAGGGTGTAGGTGTGAATGAAGAGCACAGACTAGATCTTAAAGAGACCTGCAGGGCCTCCTGGGCTTGTCTTTCATCCTATAGGACAGGCGGCTGCACCTACCAATGTGGACTGCACAAAAAACGGGGACAGAGAAAGGTTGGCCATTTTAAGGAGCCAAGAAATTCCTTTAAAAACGCAGAACATCTGAAACCAGATAGCCATTTTCCTTACTGGGAGGAGTTCCCAGCTAACAAAGAGGAAGCATGACAGGAAGACAAGTTCTCTCTCCAGCGGAAGCCAGCTCGCTGAACACAGCAGATAGCACTAGAGGACTAGGGGAGACCGCAGGCAAGACCCAACCCCGGATAAGCAGGAACCAGCCAGCTGGCCTCGGACTTGCAAGTCTCTGGGAAGTCCCAAGGTGAGACTGGACCACACTTTCACCTTGGGAGAATTTTAGGTACATTTAAAAACACTGCTTAGCATTCACATGGTTGCATGAGTTGACTTATACAAATCAAACTTCCCAAAGGCAAATGACCTTCAAACAACCCAGACTTAATTGCTGGGTCAGAGTAGGGTTATGGGACCTGTCTGGGAGCAGCTGATAACATTAGTGTTACTGAGAGGGTAAAGGGACAAAGTGGCCACCCTGTTAAGATCCATAGCCATAGACACCACCACACGACAGTTTTATCCACCCCAGAGCCCACTGAGAGTCCTATTATGGCTGCATTATCAGCACTAATCAGCCTTCCCTTTGTAAAACACTTTACGTTAATTATCTCCTGTTCCTTCAAGGGTTAGCAGTCCTAGAGGATTTGTGGCTGGGTGTGCGTTCTTTAAACTTTGAAAATGGCTTTGCTGGGTGTGAGGGAGAGGAAAGGAAAACCCAGCAGAGCTGAAATGTAGGTGTAGTTATTTCTCAAGTAAGTTGCATCGCAGTCCTTCCTTTTTGTCCTTCTTCATCATTTTGAAGTTCAGAAATGGAGGAATAGGAAGTATATTCTTAAAGATGGGAGAAGCAGGTCAAAATTCATGAGCATATTTGCTTATTCACAAGAGAGAAACACAGATTTTAGGTACTATACCTGCTGCTCAGGAGCTGCAGAACTGACCAGGAAATAAGTAGATTGTGGGCAGGTAGAATCACACTGACATAATCTGGAATTCTTTCATTTTAAGGGCAGATGTTTGAAAGTGCTTATTCCCACAGCTAGAGCTGGGGCTTGTCTTCAGATCTGTCTCTATCTGCTTTGGAACACCTGTAGGACCCAGGACACTGGGTCCGAGAATAGGGTGGAAATCAGCTTTAGATGAAATGTGATCTAAACCCCCTGGTGTGGCTGTAATACTTGCACTGCACTGATATGAGGCTCAGTCCTGAGACAGAGGGGAAGAAGTTCTTACAGTAGCAGTCTTTTTCCACACATCTTCATTGTGTGGAATTTACATCATAATCCCCCAGCAGAGTAAGTGCATACACTCTTGAAATAAAATGACAACGAAATGACACACTCTTTAAATGTAATACCTTCTGCTAATTTGCATTCTCTTCTGCTTCTTTTCTTTTTTTAGGAAATATTGGTCATGGCTCCTTAATGACCACACTGGATAGACGTTCTTGTGATAAGAGCAGAGCTTGGTGAAATGTCAGTGGTGTCCTGCTGGGATCCATTCTGTTTCTGTGTGTGTCTCACTTTGGGACACCAGCAGGCTGTGGCCACAGGAGGAGGCCACCGGCTAGGGGTGACAGGCAGCGAGAGTAGAGCAGCAGGGTGGGCTCCACAGAGCCAGGGTGGAAGTATGGCTTTACGGCCCCAAACTGAATGCTGGCCCTGCCCTTACTGGCCCAGGGCCCACAGGTAGGTTCCTTGGCTGCTTGTATCTCAGCTTTCTGTTTTGTAAAATTGGGGCTCAGCACACTTTCATGGGGGCTGGTGGACACACGTGGAAAGTGCACTGTAAAATAAACGGTACCTTTTCACAATGCCCTTCTTTTCATAGTGCTGGGGATACAACTCAACCTCATACCCCACGTGGCCATCATTTTTATGGACATCGATGATACCCAAGATGGCCCCAGGGCTGGGCCTTGTAGGGTGTAGACTTGACTGGCTTCTTCCCTCTTGTGTGGATAAATGCCTACTTGTGCTCACCGTGCTGTACAACCTTGGCTTCCTCGTCCTGGAGGCTCCTCGTATCCACCTTCGACCCACAAAGCTAGCAGCAGCAGCTGGGGGGCTTTTGCTGCTTGCCCTTGGGGAGAAGGACCCCCAGTGCTCCTGTCCCTTGGGCTAATCTACTTCAGCCCTTAGTTTCTTTACAGCCTACTTCGCAGTGATCACTGCTGGGTTTCACTCTGACGGTGTCTTCCAGGCAGTCTCCATCTGCCCTGTTAACGACCTGCCTGAGAGAGAGACGTGGCACAGGGTCCTCCTCAGGCCTGGCCTTGCCTCTTCACTACATCCGGGGCCACCAGCCCCGCCTACCCTGTAGTGGGCAGCTGCTGTGATCCCCTTCTCGAGGGCTCTGCTGAGCTGGCTAGTTGACTCTGGAGGTGGTGGGTGCAAATTCCCGGCAGGGACATTGGAGTCAGGAAGTGAGATACCCGCCCTTCCTCTGACTGCAAGGTCTTAAGACTTCCTGGAGTACATCAGGAGGGCCCAGGAAAGAGCGCTGTCAGGAAGCTAGGAAGTTGCTCGCCTGACATGCACAGCCCCTTGGTCCTCTTTGGTCTTTGAGGAGCTCTACCAAGGGCACTTCTCAGCACAGGTGCCGAGAAAGGACACCTTCATTATGTGTCTGTCCAGGCCAGATGCCCAGCACTGGCTGCTAGAATCAGTCTTCCAGGGACTAGAAAGGAAGCTGAATCATCTTTTACCGGCCAGGCGGAGGCTCAGAGAGGTTAGACCATGGGTGCAGGCTGCACAGCAGGTGGTTCACAGCTTGACTGCAGAGCCTTGCCCCTTCTGCAGCTTCAATCAGTCCAGTCTGGTTCTCACGGGCTCTACCGTGGGGAGGGCATGCTGTCAGCCACGCTGTGACCTTACATACAGCCTGCCCTGGCACTGCCTTCTAGGTGGGACAGTGACCTGCCTTCTCAGTGGGAAGCCTGGGCCGGATACCATTCGCAAACCTTGCGAGTGTTCTTTACAGTGTGTTTCTCTAGGTCGGGTTACGTAATAGGCACGAAGATCATTTGGTTTAAAGCTTTGCAAGTCCTGTAGAAGTAGAGAGTGACACGCTATGTTCACCCACACTTTGTAGATCTGTCCCTTGCCCCCTCCCTCTCCAGAGTGGCAGGCATTGACTGGAGGCTTCCTGGAAGAGGCCCATGGAGGACTTGGGGTGGACACTCGCCAGCCCCCTTTCCCCCATCCTCTAGTGTCTGCACTTCCGGCAGCAGTGTTGCCAGCCTTCTATGGAAAGGGGTCGGGCGGGGTCTGGGGGCGTGCTTTGGGGTGAGGTGGCCCGAAGGTTGCCAGCACACCGGAGGCAGGCAGCACTGGCTGACCAGCAGGTTTTCCAGCCAGGAGGCTGGTCACTGTGACTCAGCAGGAAGGAGGGCCTGTGACCACAGAGATACCATTTATATCCCGAGGGATGGGGCAGAAGGAAAGAGCCGCCTCCGGTCAGAGAGGAAAAAATGGGTGCCCTGTTTCTGTAAGCCTTATGATGTGGCAAAGAATGATTTTCCTTCCCCTCAGAAGCAGCAGGACGCTGTGTTTTAGGGCCAGGATTAGGGACAAGTGCTTGAGTAATCATCACATTTCTGCTCTCTGGAAGATTTCCTGCAGACAGGCGGCACAAGGGGGCAGTGCCCTCTGACACAGTGGAAGGACTGAATGCAGCTCCCTGTCTGCTGTGGGACCGTCAGCTGGCTTGTCCTTCTAAGCTACCTGAGTGGGACTGTTCGTTAGGGTGACCCTAGTGAATTGATACAACTTCTGGTCCTATAGGAACTGCAAAATAAAAAATAAAGGGAGGGCCAGACTTCCATGGTTGATTGTTAGCAGCCCAGAGTTGCAGAGATCCCAGAACACCAGAGGCACCCAGGGCATCTGTCCCCTGAGAGGGCTACGCCTGCCTCCACTTCAGTCGGGCAGAGGTGGCGCCGGCCCAGATAGGTTGACCCTGCATGTTTTACTTCCCTCCCCGGAGGACGATCCCAGCGCCAGCCACTCTAGGGCTTGCAACTCTTAGCTCGGCAAACCCTTCCTTACCCTAAACCTGACTGTGGTGGGAAGGACTGGTTTATATGGCAGCCTGAGGCTGGCCAGTTGGCGTCTGCTCCGTTTCTGAGGCCCAGAGGGGCTGAGTTCAGGGTGAGGTGTTTTCTTCTCACACTGGCCATGTTTTCCAGAGGAAGGGCTGGAGCCAAAGGGTGATGATGATCATCTTCCCAGGCCTAGGGGCACAGCAGCAGTAACCGCAGCTGCCCATGGCCGGTTCCTCCCTGAGGAGCTACCCTGGAGAGTGCCGTGGCCTATCCCCTGCACAGCTTTCTTTGTCGTGCCTTCCTCCCACCCCGAATTCTAGACCCTCAAGCTTTCTGGACTCTCTCAGCCTCTTTCCAGTCTGATGAGGTCCTGGCCAATCACAGACTCTTGCTCTTTGTTTTCTGCAGCCTTCATCTCTAGGCACACAGCGCCACCTAATGGCAGAGGTGGAGCCAGACCGCCCCCACTTTCCTGTGAGCTCTCCTTAGCTGGTACAATTCCAGGTCTTTCTGGCTTCCTGGTGGTTCAGTGGCCTTGTTTTTTGTTTTGTTTTGTTTTGTTTTCCGGTACCGGGAATCGAACTCACGACCTTGCGCTTGCCAGGCAGGTGCTGTGCCCCTGAGCTAAATCCCCAGCCCCTCAGTGGCCTTGTTAACCTGAGCTTCTTTCTCCTTTACAGGTGGCTATGAGAGGTTTTCCTCTGAGTACCCAGAATTCTGTTCCAAAACCAAGGCCCTGGCTGCCATCCCACCTCCTATGCCCCCCAGTGCCACAGAGTCCTTGGACCTGGGCTGCAGCTCCTGTGGGACCCCCCTACACGACCAGGTAGACCTGGGGCCTGGAGCATGGGAGCCAAGGACAGGGTTGGGGGCAGCGCGGGAACACTTGGAGCAGCCTTCCTGTCAGAGCTTAGATATTTTTAAGGCCTCAAACGCAGTGCCTCAATGTAAGGAAAATGTGGTGAACCTTACGTACTGAGACGGAGTGTTTGTTCTTTGCAATTCTTTTCCTTCTTTTATTACTATCACTCAAGAAAAAATATAAAGATATTGTGCCCTGGCTTAGCCCCCAGAGTTCTGAGTGGATGAGTTAGGGCCTGCTGTACAGGAAGTTGGAGCACACTCCTTGGAGTGAGCCCCTGGCCCTCCCAGCAGGCAGGCTGCTTCTCACATGGTGTCGGTTGCAGTGCCAGTGGGTGTGAGGAAATCAGCTCAAGCTCTAGCATTTCTCCCAAGCCTACCCTTCCAGCTCTTCCAGTTTAGTGGACAGAGGGTTAAGTTCAGGGTCCAGCAACTCTGCCAGGCACACCTCATCATGAATTTAAGCCAGTATCGGGTCATTTTGCCATAACCCCTCCTCTTGTCTATGAGGCCTGCATGGCATGTGTCTGACATGCTAAGTGAGGACATATCCAAACAGATGAGCCCCTAGATCACACAGCAAAACACCGGCTGATTAGCAGGAGAAGACTTCTAGTGTTGCAGATATGCCGTGCCAGCAGTGTGCATGATGCCTCCTCGTCATGGGGAGCTGAGCCCAAGTCTTTGCTCATCCCAGCTTTTCTGCCACCCCCAGAGTGCATGGCTAGAGAAGTCCTCTAGAGCCCAGCCACCCCTCCAGGAGATTCGAGAAGGGAAGGGAACTGGAAAGGCTCTGTCCAGCAAGATCCCCCTAGGACCTAGAAAGCCCACCTCTCCCTCTGCGTCTCCAACACTTCAGCCCTTTTCCTGGAAGCCTTTTTCTCATGTTGTCTTCGGCCTTTGTCGCTTTTGTTACAGGGGGGTCCGGTTGAGATCCTTCCCTTCCTCTACCTCGGCAGTGCCTACCATGCTGCCCGCAGAGACATGCTGGATGCCCTGGGGATCACGGCCCTGTTGAATGTCTCCTCGGACTGCCCGAACCACTTTGAAGGACACTACCAGTACAAGTGCATCCCCGTGGAAGACAACCACAAGGCTGACATCAGCTCCTGGTTCATGGAAGCCATCGAGTACATCGGTAGGCTGGCCCGCCTAGGGCCCCTGGGCCGAGCGAGGGTGGCAGGGAGTGAGAGGGAACACGGGGACCTTGAGTGTTGTGGGGTCTGCCCGTTTCCCCTCCTCCCCGACAGGAAGGCCTGCCCATGGGGTGTTACGGGGTGGGAACAGGATGACACACACTTTACCCATGCTTGGCTCTTTTTCTTGCCTGGATCTCGCCATATAGATGGTAAGAGGCTTGCATGGGAAAGAAGACAAAGAATTGGGTCCCTACATTTTTTTCCTACACAATGGGGTCTAATGGGTCTGGCGTGCAATTTTCCCAAGCAGAGTGCTTTTGTGGTTAAATCTCAAAAATACCTTAGCATGGGTGGAATTTGAGTCCTCCCCACCCCAGGCTGGCACGGCTGTTCCTTCAGTAGGGGTCCTGGCTTATGCCGTGTAGTGAAGGGTGCAGTTGCTGTCTGCCCTGATCGTGCACGTTCTCATTCTCTGCCCTAGATGCGGTGAAGGACTGCCGCGGGAGGGTACTGGTGCACTGCCAGGCAGGCATCTCTCGCTCGGCCACCATCTGCCTGGCCTACCTGATGATGAAGAAGCGGGTGAGGCTGGAGGAGGCCTTTGAATTTGTGAAGCAGCGCCGGAGCATCATCTCTCCCAACTTCAGCTTCATGGGGCAGCTGCTGCAGTTTGAGTCCCAGGTGCTGGCCACATCCTGTGCTGCGGAGGCTGCCAGCCCTTCCGGCCCCCTGCGGGAGCGGGGCAAGGCCACCCCGACCCCGACCTCCCAGTTTGTCTTCAGCTTCCCGGTGTCTGTGGGCGTGCACTCGGCGCCCAGCAGCCTGCCCTACCTGCACAGCCCCATCACCACCTCCCCCAGCTGTTAGAGCCGGCCGCAGAGCTCAGGACGCACAGTTGGCCCCCAGTGAGGCTTGGGTGAGCCACACGCTTGTGGGCAGCAAGTAGGGACTGAGCAGCTGGGGGCGGGTGACCAAGCTCCGTCCCCATCCATTTCTCCTTGGCCGACCAACCACGGGGCCAGCTAGAATGGCAATAAGGACCTCGAACACACGTTCAAAGCAAACAAACAAAACACTCCAACTTAGAGCAATAACGGCTGCGTTGGCGGCCAGGGAAGACCTTGGTTTGGTTTATGTGTCAGTTTTACTTTTCAGGTAGAAATTTCTTACCTCATTTTTTTAAGCAGTAAGGCTTGAAGTTATGAAGCCCACAGACCCTGGCAAATGTGCCCAACCAGTTTCCTTACGGGGGAGGGCGGAAGGGGAAGGGAAACGAAGAAGAAAACGAGTTTGCCAGAAGTGCCTGGTTCCGTCTGCTTGTCCTCTTCTTCTTGTTGTAGTCACAGGAATTTTGATTTTTAAAAGAAACCTAGGATATGACTTTCCTTTCTAATTATTCACCAACAGGTGAGTAATTATGCTTCATAACAAAGAAAAATATTTATGATGACTTTCCTCAGAGTATGTAAGTACAAGGAGTCTAGCGGCAGTGAATTTAGAATATATTTCTGTTGGTGTCCAATAGCAGAGCACAGTAGCATGCCGGTATCCAGACAGCGGGGCAGTCAGTGGTGTCGCGTGCGTGCGTGCGTGCGTGCGTGCGTGCGTGCGTGCGAGTCTGCATGGTGGTCACTGTTCACTTGTCACCACTGAGAGGCAGGCAGGTTGGGGAGAGGGAAGGGAAAGAAAGGTGAGGACTACTTTTTAGTTATTTCTGCAGCTGGTTCCTGGGCACATAGACCATAACCGTATAGCTTTTTCTGTCCAATGGTCATTTGATGGTTGGAGCGTTTTTCTCATAGACCTGCCTAGGGCTTGTATGTGGTCTGTGATCAATGCCATATTATTTATAAGGTGCTCCTGGAACATTGGGTGCACTTCAGATTTTCCTACAGTGAAATCATCTGGCAAGGCCATGGGGGAAACCAGATCACTAGCAATACCTGAAGTGAATCCTTTTGTAAGTTGAAATACTGTCTTTCTTTTGCATAAATCGAAGTTTTTAATTTAAGGGGGTGTTTATTTGAAATGAAGTATACCAACAAATTCTTGTGTTACTAAATTCCAGTTAGATGAATTTTTAAAAGGCCCTTCATCTTTTGAATAAAAAGTGGAGTGGATGCCACATTTCAGGTCTCCTTGAAGTTGAGAGGGACAAAAAGCCCCCTTGATGGTGGGGCAGGGCAGACTCCTTGCCCAAGGCTGGCTGCTGGCTCCTGTGAAGTGCATCATGGGTACTTGGGAGCCATTTTCAATCCTTAGTTGGGCTAATTCCATTTTAAGGGGCCTTTCCAAATGGAGGAATGGCTTTAGAGGGAAAAGGACATTTTTCTGGGGGGAGGGCTTGGGGGGAGGGCAAAGGGAAGAAGCTGTGTGTTACTTCATTTGTAGTATTGTGGAACAGTGTTACGGATTAGAGCTCATTGCAAACTTGTCCAGAAATGAGAGCATTTTTTAAAGCCCTTTGAGAGTCTGGCTCTCTGAACATTCTTGCTTACCTGTAACATCAATTCTCAAGGTCAAAATTGTGCGGGAATACTGTTTCTCACCGGTACTGCAGACAGGTCTGGGTTCATTGCATTTCCTTCTGTGAACTTGTGTCGACCTATTTGTCCTGCTCATCTGTGTCAAGCCCTGCCTTTGGGAGAGGCCAGAGTTCCCACTTCCTGGTTTTAGAAAACCCACAGGTGCCCTGCTGCTCTGGGAGCTGCTTGGCTGAAGAGTTGATAGGGGAGCGGGAAGGGTTGAGGTTCCCAGATGGTAGACGCCTTTAGAGACAATACAGTTGGACATTTCCACTTCTACCTTGGTTCCTGGAAGTCACTTCATGTCTGGTGAAGCATGAGGTCAAGTGAGTTCTGCACTGCAAAAGACATCGGTGCCAAGAGCAGATGGGGAGGGCAGAGGGGCTGCAGGAGGAAGGGGCAGGAGCTCCAGAAGATTCACATTTTATATAATGAGTGTACATTTGCCAAATCTGTCCTCCTTTTTTAGACAAGATCCCAACTACATAGGTAGTGGGAACTCAGGATTAGCTCCAAATGTCTTTCTCTGCTCCCCAATTCAAGTCTTCTATCACAGTGTCAAACAGCTATTTATAAAGTCGTTTTCTTTGTACTTGATAACAGCATGACTCTTAGAAATAAAATAGGACATTGGCTTGATTGAACAAGGGAACTGTTTCTATTGTTATCTCCCTCCAGAAGTCTCTTTGATGACTTGGAACGACTCTGATGAAGACAGTACCATGGGGTCAGTCCAATGGCCAGTGGGTTTCCATAAGCAGCGGTCCCTCCCATGAAGCAGTGTCTGGTGATGGTGAATTTCTGTGACAGCCAGAAGCATTGCCACACCGATTACCAGCTTTGCTGCTGGCCACAAACAGCAGTAGGCTCATTGGGTATTTACCATAGAGAGTGAGAGTGCTGCTGATTCCCTCCCAGGATCTTGTCTGACTCTTGGGTGTTTGTGGAGGAGTCAAAGGAATGGACTGGACTTCCCCACAGAGCAGCAGTAGGCAGAAGCACTGGTAGTTCCTGGCTTCCTTTCCTTCCTGTGGCCGGCCGTTGAGCTGGGGTGCTCCATTTTCCACACAATTAGGAAGCCATGAGAAAATGCAGTGAAGCAGTGGTTCATCTTGGCTGTCCTTTCCAATCACCTGAGGAACTTTAGAAATTCTGATACCCTGGCCATTTTTGACCAAGTAAAGCAGAATTCCTGAGGGTGGGATCCAGGCATCAGCATGGTTCAGAGTTGCCAGGGGCAGCCAGCTGAGGGAGATTGCCCTTCTGGATGGCAAGGTGCTGCTGGAGGCTGGGTCTCACTGAAACCACAGCCAGGCATTTGTCCCTGGCTGTGTGATCTCCGTACCGTCCTGGCTCAGTTAAGGGACAAATTGTATTCTATGAGGACTTCCTGAATGGGGTACCTCTTCATGGTCTTCAAAAGCCAGCTGGTCTGTGGAATGTTGCTAGTAGACTGACTCTAGGGTGGCTAGGTATTGATGTTTTTCCTTCAAATTTTCTTGTCTATCAAGAAAAATGGAGTCTATTCTGAAGGTTGTCCTCCAGAGTACCCTGCCTTCCTTAAAGTTCCAGTTATTCAAGAAGAGACTTCATAAAGACAGCAACGCAATACTTGTAAATAACCCCATCTTGTAGAGTGAGGCCATTTCTACATTTCTTACACCTGTATTTCTGTAGGATGTAAATAGTTTAGGGGATTTTTGGGGGGGTTGATTTGGTTTTTTTTTTTTTTTTTTTTAGAAAAGTCCAGATGTCTGTTTTTATTTATTGCTTGAAAAAGATCATTTGAAGAAAAATAAATACATTTTCAACCACTCCTGCCTTGGTTTAAGCTCTCCTTTAACACAGACCTGCCATGACAACACAGAAGGAGGGGGGAAGAAAACCTGGGCATCCAGTAACCTCACCACTGAGCATGTGCGGTGGAGCATGGCCGAGAAGCAGTGATCCCATTTTCCCTCCCTCACACCATTCCAAGCCAGTGAGAGAAGGCCAATGCTGAGAGTCTAATGTCCCCAGTAGCAGAGAGCTGCTAAGAGAGGGGGTGAGGTCCTACTGTGTGCTGCATGTAGGAGTCGGAGATAAGGGTGGCTCCTCAGTGGGAGAGGTCAGGCTTAGCCGGCATGAACACAAAGTGATGAGGATGGAACAGATGTGCATGTAAGGAGTTTCCACCCAAGGAGTGCAGCCTGGCTTGTGGAATCTGAGGAAATGTTACTGGCTTCATGTTCCATCAGGATCATGGAAATTATATGTTTCAAGGACAGATGGGAAGAATAAATGAAGATTATGTAAGCCATGGCTTCTCCAGTACTAATCTGTGGATCAGTTGTATCAGATTCTATTGCTACGAATTTCCCAAATCACAAACCAAAAACTTGACTACTGAACGCACATTCCTACTGTATTGTAATTATTTACTGTTATTCTGGGAGCACTAGCCAAGGTGATTAGTAAGTGACAGAAATGAGGAATTCAGTTTGAAAAGTGGGAGAGCAAGTTATCTGGAAATGATGTGTCTGCAAAACAAGGGAATTAGCTGAAAAACTATCAGAAATACGAACTGGGTAAGTGGTAAGTCTTAAAATTAATTTGGGAAAATAGTAACTTTTCTGTATAAAAATACCAGTTAGAATAGGAACAGTTGAAAACCCATATTACAATGCCAGTTTTAAATACCTACAATAAACTTTAGTGGAAATAAGAGACTGGCACGTGCTAGAGCCCTGCCCACGGACAGCTTTGTTATGGGTAAGGAGACCTACTATTGAAAAGATTCAGTTTCTCTAAATTTAACGTGTACACTTAATGAGATCACAATCAATGCACCAGAATGACTTTGGGGGAAGCATGGACATAATTAGGATTTCACTGGAGAAATGCGTATACAAGAAACAAGAAATTGCCAGGTGTGGTGGCGCACACCTGTAATCCCAGCACTCAGGAGGCTGAGGCAGGAGGATTGTTACGAGTTCAAGACAAGCCTAGACTACAAAGTGAGCTCAAGGCCAGCCTGAACTGCACAGAGAGACCCTGTCTCAAAAAAAAAAAAAAAAGAAAAAGAAACAAGAAAACAGGAGGGAATCACAAGGTAGGGGTTTAGTCTTCAGTTGCCATAATCCCACAGCAAAGATAATCCCTCTTTACCACAGGGTAGAGAGCAGGGATTTATTTCTTACAGTTCTGTTGGCTGGGAAGTCCAAGGTGAATGAGGACTTTTCTTCCTCATCATCCCATGGTGAGAGGCAGGCAGGCAAGAGTGTGAGATGGCAGGAAGGGGGTTGAAGAGCACGGTGGTGCATGCCTGTAAAACCAGCCCTTGGGAGGGGAGGCTGAGGCATAAAGATCACTGCAAATTTGAGACCATCTTGGGCTACATAGTTCCAGGTCAGCCTGAACTACATAGTGAGACCCTGTCTCACAAAAGGGGCAGGGGTCAACATCACTTTTCTAACAAGCCCACGTGCAAAGAAGACATGACAAGTACTCCTGGCAGCAAAGTCCTCTTATCCCATTTGCCTCTTAAAGGCTGTACTTGACATTGTTGCCTTGAGGATTATATTTCCAAAACATGAACTTTGGGGACACATTCACACCATGGCAAGTGAGGAGAGACATATGTCCTTTTGCATTGTATCTATCACTATTGTGATAGAATAGTTTATGGACTATTTCTTAAAATAAACAATATATGGGTCCACGTAAGAGATGCTACACACTCCCACTGTGATTTTGATTTACATCTCATTTCAGAAGGGTCTGTTTATCCTGTTCCCTTTCTAACCTCTCCTGGCACGACAATCCACAAACCGTAACTACTATCACTGTGTGATCTTTTATCCGAGAGCTTAGTTATATAAATAACACTTGTTTTGTTTTGCACATGAAGTTGCCAGTCAAGAGTTGGCACAAGACTCTGCTTAACATTGAGCACCTGAGGATGCCTGTGGCCTGTGCTGCTGTCACCCGAGGGCCGGGATGGCTCCCTCACCTGCCTGGCAGTTGGTGCTGGCTGGTGGACAGCTTCCTTCTGACTGATTTGAGCTCGCTTCTCTCTCCAGCATGGCAGTCTCAGAGTGATGAGATTTCTTAAGGGACAGCTCAGAGTGAGTGTTCCAGAAAACAGGTAGAAGGTACTCCCCCTTATGGTCTCATTTCAGAAGTCTCAGGATGTACTCGCTCTTTATTAAAGAGTACTAAGTTTCCTCTGATTCAAATAAGAGGAGAGCCTGTCTCTTGTAGGGAAGAATGTCAAAACACTTTAGAATCATTAAAAAAAAACCCCATCACATTGATATCAGTTATTTAGAAAACCTGAAAATGCAACTTTCATCTGTAATCCACAGATACTTGTCATCTGAGAGCTCATCCAAGAACCAAAACTTCTGATAGGGTTTTGGTGTCTAGAGGTGGTCTTTAAAATTCCCAGATGGATCTGGGTGTGCTCTACTGGTTGATGCCAAGATCCTTACCTTGATTTCTTCCTGAAACTCAATAAAAGTGCATTAAGTCGAGGGTATCAGAAAGTTTCAGCTCTATGTCTACGTTAGGGGTGGTCACATATGACATTTACACTGCTGTTGATTACTCCTGTGTCCACAACAGACATTACTAATCCACTACAGTCTTACTTTCTACTGAGCTCATGTAGGTCACTGAGTTCAACAGAGCACTTACAAGGCACCTACTGCTGCTTCCCTGGAGCAGGGGTACAAGATAATATTTATCAAGTAGCTGTCTAAGTTCTTTGTATTAATTCATTTAATCTTTACAACAGCCTAATTGGGATGTAGGTCCCAACATTACCTCCATTTTATAGGTGAGTACAGAGAGGCAAAGGAAGATTAAACAACTTGACCAGGGTTCATCCTTCAGATGAACCAAAACCTCAGTTTGGATGAATATACTCAAATATCTCACAAACAAAGGAAAGAACAGAGGTACAAGTGGGCAATACAATTACAACATAAGGATATAGCAAGTCAAGTGCCCGGAGTTGACCAGGATCACAGGTGCTTGGTGGAGGAGTAAGGATTTGAACCCGAGTTTCCAGCCACCATGCATGATGCCTGCTTGTTATACACTGACTCCATCTGGCCTAGAAACATCACAAGACAAACTTATCCCTAAAGAAATACAGGAAAGTAGAAACCTATAAAAGCGCCATGTAAGCAGGAACAGGAGATGAGGAGGGTATGAAGTACCCACCAATTTATGCCATCAACGCTTACCTCAAGCCTGCTGTTTGTGTCCTTCATATATCTATATCCACCCAATTAAGTGCATGATATGGAGAACAGTGAGCCAGGACAATACTGTACACACTGGATCCTCCAGCACTGTAGTATAGAGACACTGAAACCCAGTGTCTGCCTGCCGTATTGAAACAGGCAGTGAAGGGGAGCCCCAGAGGTTCTGGGTAAGACGATGCCTCCCCATGAACCCCTGCTATACCACTTTCCTTTGATTCTACGAGGGTGGGAAGGTTTAGACTTGAGCTTTCATCATGGATGTTAACAAGTGCCATACACCACATGGTCACCTATCTGCTCCCTCCCAATGGTGGGTTCTTTGATAAGACCTCTGACTTATTACCCCATGAGCCCAACAGACCTGTATCTAGAGAGCAAATCCCACATTAGCCTTCCTGTTGCAGGGGAAGGTACAGACTGCGACAGGAGGAAGAACAAGACCAGTAGGCAGAGGAACCTATAGTCCAATGTTGCAGTGAATGTTCTTGGTTCTTCACAGCTGAATAGGCTGTTTCTCTTCCTTGGGGAGGGGGTTGGTAGGGGACAGAGGAAAGGCAAAAGCACTGAGGTTGAAAGATCAATTTCTCCAACAAGTACCCCAGAGAGGCTTTCAGAGAAAAGCTATGTATCACCCTTGATATCAAGTGTCCTAACAGTTTGCTCCCTAACACATTTTAGGGATCCGTGGGCCCAGGGTATCTATACTTTCTCTTCTGGAGTTCACAAAGGGCTCACTTGAGTCCCAGGAATTTCACAGAGAGTGCAGAAAGAAGAGGGAGCCGCCATGCTTTTCTGAAAATGGAGCTCAGGTCACATGTGACAGTGGGGCAGCTCTCTGGCCAGAGCAGCACCTGGGGAACCGGCTCCCCACTTGTCAGGAGAAAGTGAAATGGAGAGCTTGGGCATCAGGAGCTAGGAGCCAGTGTCCCCCTGCAGACCTGACTGCTCTGTGAGCATTGACCCTCGTCTTTCAGTAGCAGCACACCGCTTTGACTCACAGATACATCCAATCCCATCCAAGTTAGTGCTGTGGCTCAGGCCTCATTTAAACAGATGCACTCCACACCCTTAGCTGCCAGGCAAGGTTCAGGGATGAACACTGGGCTGCCCAGTACAACAGCCTGAAGCCTAGGCATTTTTTGAGTGGCTGGAGAAGAGTTCCTCACACCTGCACATATACATGTCTTTCTATGATTGTCTTGAAGAACAAAAAACCTTACCAGGCACAGTGGCATACTCATAATCTTAGCTAGCTGGGAGGCTGAGGCAGGAGGATCACTTGAAGCCAGGAGTTTGGGGCTGGCCTGGGCAACATAGTGAGATCCTGTTTCTAATTAAATAAATAAACCACAGTTAAGATGAATAGCATTTTTAAAAGGATGGTTTTAGGCTCACAAGGAAGCACAGAGCATCTCCTCCAGTCACCCGGTGCATCAGCGTCCTCCACCTCAGTGGAGCAGGTGTTGTACCTGGTGAATCCACCTTAACACAACATCCAGTTTACTCGAGGGCTCACTCTTTGTGCTGTGCACTCCCCAGGTTTTGGTAAATGCAAAGTGACATGTTCCCACTGCATTGGACAGAGTTCTCTCCTACCCTAAAATCCTCTGTGGTCTGCTTATTCATCCCTCTGAACTTTCTACTGCCTCTATATTTTGCCATTTAAAACATCATCTGTTTGGGCTGTTTTGTTTTGTTTGAGACAGGGTCTCACTATGTACTCCAGGCTGGTCTTGAACTCCTATGTAAGCCAGGCTGGCTTTGAACTCACTATGGAGTACAGGCTCACCTTGAAGCAATCCTCCTGCCTCAACCTCATGAGTGCTGGGATTACAGGTATGCCTGCCACTATTCCTAGCTAAATGTCATATAGTTGGGATCATACAGCAGATAGCCTTTCCATATTGACTTCCTTTACTTAGGAACATGCAAATGTGCTTATTTTCTGCATGTCTTTTCATGGTTTACTAGTTCATTTCTTTTTTAGTGCAAAATAATATCCCACTATCTGGATGTACCACATAGTTTATCCTACTTTTTTTTTTTTTTTTTTTTTTTTTAACCACACGACATCTTGTTGACTTCGGGTTTTGACAATTATGATTAAAGGTTCTATAATCATTTGTGTGCAGGTTATTGTGTGGAAGTGTTTTTCAGTTTACTGGGTAAATACTAAGGATCATGATTGTTAGATCATCTGGTAAGAATATGCTTGTTTTTTGTAAGAAACTCTTCCAAAGTTGGCTGTACCACTGTGTTCCCACCAGCAGTAAATGAAGAGTTCCTGTTGCTCCACACCCTCATGAGCATTTGATGTTATCAGTGTTCTGGATTTTGGCCACCCAGATAGGTGTATAGACCTATGTCACTGTTGCTTTGAACTGCACTTCCCAGATAACCTATGGTGCTGACCATATTTTCCTATGCTTCTTTGCTCTCTGTTGTCTCCTAGTGAGCTGTCTACTCAGGTTGCTGATTTTCCCACTGTTGTGCTCTGTAAGTTCTCTGTATATTTTGGATAACAGTCCTTTGTCAGATGCATCCTTTACAAACACTTTCTTCCAGTTGGTAGCTTGTCTTCTCATTCACTTGACAATCGTTCCCACATGGTACAAGTTCTAAAGAAGCTTAGCTTATCATTTCTTTCTTTCCCAGATTGTGCCTTTGGTATTATATCTAAAAGACTCTTTGCCACACCAAAGGTTATCTTGATTTTTCTCCCATTGCCTTGTAGGAGTTTCAGTTTTGTGTTTTACAATTACACCTATGACCTATTTTCAGTTAATTTTTGTGATATGCACGAGGCCTTTTTTTGTTTTGTTTGAATATAGATTCATTTTTTTTGTCATGTGGATGTCCAGCACCATTTGAACAGTCTTTGTTCCACTGTATCACCTGTACTCCTTTATTAAAGATCTGCTTATATATTTCTGTGGGCTCTCTGTTACACTGACCAAATCTGAGTATCCTTCCACCAATGGCATATTGTGAGTATTGTACCTTCATAGCAAGTCTTGCAGTTGGGCAGTGTCAGCACCCCAACTTTGTTTTCTCCTTTAAAACTGTTACCAGTCTGCACCTTTTGCCTCTCCACAGGTGCTTTAGACTGTGGCTAGGCACAAACTAACCTGCCAGAATGTTCCAAAACGTGTCAACAACAACGGATTTCCCACCAACAGTCCAACGAGGTCAAAAGTGTCAAGCTTCACTCACATATTTAAAGCTTCTGATCAACTTTTTAGATCTCTGCCCTTTATTTTTTTAAATTGAGGTTAAAATCTTCAAGTGTGTAGATCTTTAGAGCTCAGTGAATATCATCTATGTACACACCAGTGTCATCCAGAGGCAGACACTTGACTTTAGCCTCTACATCCTCCCAATGACTCAGATCCATGGCTACTTTGTACTTTACGCTCTAAATTACGACTGATTTGTAAGCGGAATTATGAAAGTAGAGATGAGTAGACTTACTTTATGAATCACTTGTAGGTTAGGAAAGTACCGTATGTCAAGGATCATATTAATACAATCAACATACTTTCTATCTTATTTGAAGCTATCTTATCAACACTAGAGACTAGATGGAAATTGGTCAAAATGAAGACATACACCCCACCTTACTGCAAAGTAATCTTCTGCTTTTTCTGTGTCTAGGCCAGTGGTGGCAAACCTATGGCACACGTGTCACAGTGGACTGTTGCATCCCTGAAAGCTCTAAAAGGTTCGCCATCACTGGTAGGCATTCAGAGCAGATACCAAGCAAAAAACCTGGCAATTAGGTCCCAATTTGATGGGAGACAATGACGTAGCTCTTACTTCCATTGCAGAGCTGGGTGCTCCTTTAGGGTGGAGAGCTTTTGTACCATCTTAGGCTGCTAAATGAGGAAACATGAGCCACGCTAAGTGCTAATGTTTGCAACTGCTAGCCATACACAGGGCAGGCTGCCTCTCACCTGAGAGGCTGGGTCACAACCACCGAACGTTACAGGCGATGCAGTTGTAAAGGCTGTTCAAAAACTGCTGCCTGAGAAACACCTCTCCATTTATGTTTTCTTTTTTTTTTTTTTTGGTTTTTTCTCCGGTACCGGGAACCGAACTCACGACCTTGCGCTTGCCAGGCAGGCGCTTTGCCGCTGAGCTAAATCCCCAGCCCACCTCTCCATTTATGTTATGATTTCTTTTCCTTACGAGTAATTTCTTTTAGAAAATAAATTCAGTTGCTAGGAGTGGTTACAGCCCCTACCTCCATCAAGCCTCAGTGGTTCAGACTAGAAAAACAGGGATGCTCCTGTATCACAAGGCAAACCAAGTTGTTGAAATTTTAGGTTATTTTGTATCCCACTTGCTTTTTGTGCACAACTTGGATAATTCCTAATTTCACACAATAACTAAAGGGGACCACTGCATGCTAATGGCACTTAGGGTCTGATCTCATGAGTCACTGATGACATAAAATTGCACAATGGTGTCAACTCTTCATCTTTACTTATACAGAACGACTCTATACAGGGATTGGCATATAGTAACTGGAACTCAGGCACACAGGGCAAAGGGTTCTGATTCAAATCATTTTACCCCTTCAAGTTTATCTGCAGAATGGGGATCAAAAGATCTCTTTTGTGTGGTCACTGGGGTTACTGGTGACAGTGTAGCAATGTATCCGGTTCATCTCATGAGCTTGATGGCAGCTACCATTATTTGCAGGGTTATTGAGCGCTTCTGAATGCTTAGCTTCTAGGTCTCTTTTTGACTCCGACAATCCCTCTGGTAAAGAAGTTACGGCTAAAATTCTAGCTTTAAATTTATGTAATGGATCTCCGGGTGTGGAGAAAGGAATGGAGTATAAGTGGAAAAATGTCCTTTGTTCTCTGGGCAGGCGTCATGCTAGGTCTTTAATACTGACTGTGGCACAAGCATGTATCTTCTGCTTTTTTCCTCTCCAGTGAGAGAGGGGACAGAGTGAGTCTCTGGGCAGTGAAGGTGGGTGGCCTGTGAGCTGCTCTTGGAGCCTGAGAGTGAAGTTTGACTCTAAAGCTCATGGCCCTCTGTTTTAGAGACGGTTCTAGACAAGCACCTGTTCTCCTGTCTCTGCTGTACTTCCACCACTCCCACGTGGACTCAGAGGCGAGAAGAAACACTCAAACCTCAGCTCATGAGGAAGAGGGTCAAAGACAGCTGGAATGTATATTCTGAGTGTGAGGTCAGTTGTGTTGAGGCTGGTCAGGAGGAAATGAAGAAACACGGAAACTTGAACGCTCTTGAGAGTTAACTGCTAAACACACGCTGTACTTTAAAAATGCTTTTATTGAATATTAATCAATTACAAGTACTGTAAGTTAGACATTAAGCCAAAGCACAATTACAGGTTAAATATAATCACAAAGATGTTTTAAATAGAAACCCACCATGGAGGCAGGTCAAAGTTCATTGATGCCCTCTTTTGGAAATGAGCAGAGTGGAAAAAAGATCTTCCATTCCAGGTGAAAAATAATGAAGACTAGAAGAATTTACATGCTGTAAGTGACTTTCTGTGACCAAGTCAGTAGAGTTGCCAGATTTAGAAAAACAAAGTGCAAAAAAAAAAAAAAAAAAGATGCTCAGTTAAACTTTAATTTCAGATAAATAACACTTTCTTTAACTATAAGAATATGCAAATATTGTTTGAAACATACTTAAACTGAGAAACTGCTTGTCTAAAATTCAAATTTAACTGGGCATCGTGTATTTAATCTGACAATCCTACGAAGAGACAAATGCAAAAAAGAAAAGACACACCTGCCACTGGTGGGTCATACAGAGAATAAAAATAAAATCAGTGACAAACCAAAGAGTGTCACTACATTGGTTACTTACATAGACTAACATCACAAGAAAATACAATTACTACTCCAAATGCTGTTGCCAGAAAACATTGTAGGTTTCCTCAAAGCTGGTTTTGTAAATGTTTTGAGAAACTTTGTTTATTGAAGTACCGTTTCAGTTTTGTAGGTATCAAAGACAAATACTACCACAAAGATGGGATGAGCATAAAACAATGGGAGAAGCGGTAATTATACGCACGCAGAGTTTGTTTTGTGTAATGAATACAATTACTGTATGGCCGAGGTCACCTCGCAGGTGAAAGGTCTCAGCCTCAAAGATTTTGGTTGCTTTCTAACTTTCTTTCACTGTGGTTTCCTAGCTCTTCCTCCTGAACTCTGGGAGAGGCAGGAGGGTGTGTGGGGGACTTCCCTGCTACCAGGGCTTACAGCTTTTCTGTGAATTGATAAAGGGATTCAGGGCTGCTTACAGATATGGGCACAGAGATAAAAAATAAAACCAGCTGGATTCTGAAGGATGAGAGAAAACTTTGAAAGGGGTGGTGTATGTGCGTGTGGAGATGCGCAGTGTAAAACAGAAAAGAGAAGGGGAAGAAGGAGGAGTCACAACACCACCGCCTCATAGGAGGCGGAGCAGAGGCAGAGATGTAAAGCTGCTCACAGCATGACTGCACTGGCCTTTGAGTATATAAAGTCTTCAGCTTCCTACAGATTCTTACTTTAATATCTCATAACATATAATTTAAAATGATTAAAAACAGTTTGCACATCGCTCAAATTCTACACAGCATCACAGTTGTTACTGTATCCACACATATACAACTTGATAGGCTTTGAGATTGTTCTAAACATTTTTCCCAACCAAAAATCTGGTTGCTGAGGAATTTCAGGTATGCAGAAACTGGAATGGATCGATTACATCAGCTCTGTTGTAAGCAAGGGAGTGGAACTTACGAAATATACCCCCATAATATAAGCTCAACAAGTATGAAAATACATGGAGGCATGCCAACTCACCGACACCTTCCCAACACTAAGAAATAGAAGTACAATGTTTCATTTACTAGAATATAAAAGGTTAAAAAGTTTCTGCCATAGTCAAGGCTTTCTTAAGCTGAAATTTTTAATTGTATATTAATTGCAGAATGCACAAGTAATCTAAAAAAGGTTTCCAGGTGGTATATTTTGAATGGATTTCCTTTTTATAGGCCAGATGTGTCTAACAATAGTTCAAATATTACTTTAATTTCTCTGTCATTTATTTGACATTAATCAAACTTAACTTCAGTCTTTAAATAAATTTCAGGTACATGAACCCTATTTTAATGTCAATTTTGAATATCTGCTGAATGACTAAAGTCTATAGCTCTGTGCAAGACAATCAGCCTAACAGAAAACATAGTAGGAAAGCTGTACATTACAGATATCACACAGGATGTGGGTGTGCTGAGGAAAGGTGCTTAAAAATACACACCACTTCTGTTTGCGAGGCCATTTACAGGAATCCGGACAGTGCATGTGTTTCAAAAGAGGGGATGCAGAGTCCAGTAACCCTTCATGCCACTGGGAAATATACTGAAATAGAGAAAAACCTAGACAACTTATTGCATTTGAATGCTGTTTTCCAGCACTAACAAAAATTTTATTTTTTGTATAATTCCTATGATAATAGAACGTGACTCTATATGACTTTTTGTTTGCCATACCCAGGCATTTTGTGCATATTTCAATGCACTTTGCTATTTTGAGAGCAAAGAAAATTAGCCTAGCTATTACCATCAAGCTCAAAGGAGTAAAGGATGCTATTTCATGAAACATCCTAATACTGTGTATTCTACTTATGTTGCTTGAAAAGCTAGACATTCTAAACTCCAAGAAAGAAAAGGAAGTAAGAATCCTGGGTGTACTGCTATTACTTTGCATAGAATAAAAATTCTAGGTTCCATGCTGTCGTTTGCTATCCAAGTGGCAGAATCTTCTGAGAAGAGAAGAGATGAGGCCTAAATCCAGTTCTGATTGTGATGTGAAAATGGAAAGGTATCTAGGTTCTTTTTGGAAGACTCAAGGTAAAGAAAGAAGGAAAATGGTGGGGTCAAAGGTAAGTGTTTAAGCTATTTTTACTCCTGACTAGCAACCTGGGGAAAAGCGAAGGTCAAGCACAAGGAGAAAGGTGTCCAGAGGACTTATTTTATGCCTGAGTTAAGTATTCAGTTGGCCACAGGTGAACTAGAACCCTCAGTCTAGAGAAGCCCTCTGATTTAGAGCTAAAGCTGTGGCGATGCCTGGTTCTCTTTTCCATGTGGTGTGGGAAGCAGAGGGGTTATTTCAGGGGAGTCCCGAACTTACTAATGTTGCTATATAGTGTACATTCAAGAAATAGATTTCAGCCTAATTTAATGCCATGATTTAATATTCTAGAAGGTTCCTCACATTGGTATAGATGGAAATCTGGATGTAATTAACTTTTGATGAGTATACTCATGATGACCTTTGGTTTTCAAGTTCTGAAAAAATGTTTTTGGCTCCTGTGATATATCCATTAACTTCCTCTCTTTAGCAGATAATATATACACATTCTCTCAAGACTACAATATAGCTGAATTGTTACAAGACCAGAAGCACTGCAAATGTTTTCTGTATACAGACAGTACCTTCACTTGGCACACAGAACAGCAGACATGGAACATTGGTAGTTTAAATAATGAACCACAGTTTAACTTCTCAAGTGTAAGGCCCAAGTTTAAAACTAGCACATCCATTAATCTAGTTAGCATGATGGAAACGACACAACAAAAAAACCACAGTCTGGTAGTGGTTTATCTTTTTAATGAAGCTATAAAGCTTTCCATATCTATTCCATATTAACTCTTATTTAACTAAAAATTACAGCTGTGTTTATCATTTTAAACTATGTCGGGGGTGGGGGTAAAGTAATACACACTTCACAGCTACTGAAAGCTACAAAGACTGCAATTTCTTCAACCCTTTTTTTGTTACACACAAAAAAAAGAGGAAAAAAAAAGCCCTCTTAACAAATATCAAATTTTGAAGCTTTATATGGAATTCTAGTGCTGTTAAACACACAACCAAGACAAACACCCAGCATGGCTCACTGGAACTTCAGTTTAACTGAGGCAAATTCTTGATTTAGTTGTGAGGGCCCATGCAAGATTCAGCTACAAAATTCATACAAATGAGCATGATGCCTAGTTCTAGCACTGAACTTAAGCCAAAAAAGAAAAAGAAAAGAAAAGAAAAAAGAAAAGAAAGGTAGATGTGTATTTTGACAACCTATTTCTAGATTTCCGCAAGTAACCACTTTGTTTCATTTCTGGAGATTAGAGGAGGTCCCAGTTTAACTGGCCTGCATTAAAAACCCCAATTAATTTCCAGGACTTTAAACTGAAATGGTAAATTGGTATCACACTGTTTTTCCACCAAGTTGATATTGCTTTTGCTCCAAGGTTGAGGAGATATATATAGCGTGTCAAGTAAATAAAGTAATATACTTAATTCAATATTCAGTTAAGGTGAACAGGGCAATTGTAAGAACTATGGTAGACAATTTCTTTTTAAGTGTCAGTGTGCACTTGGCAAATGTTGATTAAAACAAGCAGTACTTTCACAAAAAAAAAAGGAAAAAAAAACCAGTATGATATTTCTCTATCATCTTCACTTAGAAAAATAACTGAAAGGACTTTGGTTTCAATTTTTGTTCTCCTTGTCTAAATATATTAAGAAGTTTGAAGAAGTGGTTCAAAAATTTAGCACAGGGGTTTTTATAAAGTATCTGAAGCATGCCATTGAAAATAACCCCAAATCTGGAGTAAAAAAAAGTTCTTGCATTTGTGTACATCTATGGACTACACAGGATTTAAACCCTAGCTTCCTAAAGAGACAGTAAAGCAATATTTTGGGGACTCTAATGATGTACAATAATTCCACTGACTTTGGAAATAAGGCAGCTAATTTGGGGGTGACAGTTCTGGTGGGAGGGATTAAGTGAGGGAAGCATTCGCTCTCTGGGGAGTCCCCTGACTCTTTGGGGCTGCAATGATACAGAACCACGTGCTCCGCGCCCTTCTCAAATGCTATTCCTTCAACAGCGCCCCAGCAACTTCACCTGGGAACGGGAGGTCATGCCACTCTCCCTGGCTGTGTTCTCCTGGGAGTTCCAGCTCCGACCTGAACGTCCCCGCTCGCAGGCTGTCCTGGAAAGGGCAAGTGGCCATCCCTAGCTTTGACTTCTCTCACCTTGGAGCTCCTAGGTCAGGTTGATGTTCGTGCCTTCCCTTGTAAGATGGGCCAATTCATAAAAGGAAACTAAAACTTGATGTTTCTTCTTTTCATCTCAATTTATGTTAACAAGAAGCACAGATATAAAATCAAACAAGAACAAAAAAGTAGAAAGGGAATCTTGCTCAGCCAGAAGCTGGGGTTGCATTGTTAATGATTTTAGTCAGTGTGACTTTGTGCAAAATATTCTCAGGAAGGTTCTGGCTCATTTTCAAAGTAAAAGTTAAAAAAATAAAACAGAACAAAACAAAAAAAGCGCCAAAGACGCATGTTTGCAAAAGAAAAAAAAAACAAAAACTAAACAACAAAAAAACTAAAAATGAGCCTGCATTTGTATGTATTTGCTATATACATGTGCCACATTTAAAAAAGCAAACGTAGTGTGTGAACTGTGAACATTTGAAACAGTATTGGTTATGTTTCCACTTCTTCCATTTCTAAGTCTAGACCAAAATAATCTTGCTTTAGAAATGGATAACTGTGATGAAAATGAGCCTGAGATATGTTAAAAGGCCACCCCTGTAAACATTTCCTCAAAGGGAACAGTAGTAGTTGAGTATGTATCAGTTACTCATACTATATTCATCACTATAGCAATGCTTTATAAAAGACAAACAGCTTATTTCTAGGCTGTCAGGGATTTAAGAATATTGATTTTTTTTTGTTGGAAACAATCTGCGCAATCCAGTCCCAGATTTGCATCTGACGCGGCCTTCACCAGTGGGCATTCACTAGGTCTTCTGCTCTGCAGCTGTTGAGGTCTGTGAAGGAGCTTCTGGTTTCATGATCTGGTATGTGATGAGATACTCTGGGTATGCCTGGAAAGGACAAGAAGAAAAGCTCCTCACCCTCTAGTAGGTGCAATATTATTAAAGTTCCATTTAATGTGGAGGTCTCAGAGGCAACTGAGTGCCTAGTCACTTTCTACACAGGCCCAGGACCCTCCGAAATCAAGTCCAGTAAAAGGCACCTGAACAAATGAAAGGCCCACCAAGGGTTAGGAGCACAAATATGCTTGGTTTATTAATTTACTATTCTCTTCATGTATATAAACATGTATAAATTCTAAAATCTGAAGAACAGTTTGGATGTTATTTCTCCTTTTCTTCCTCTCTCTCTTCAGTGTGAGGCACAGAACCTAGGGCTTTGCACATGCTAAGCAAATGCTCTACCACCGGGCTAGGTACCCCCCCCAACCTATTTCTCTCTAAAAACTGTCACCTAGTTATTCTCCATTTTTCCCTTATTAGAGAGTGATGTGCATAAACAGGAAAGCAAAGGCAGCACTAAGATTTGTCTTCTTTACTGCACTTAGCATAGTGGCCAACAAAGTTTGTTAAACAAAAGAGTAATTCTGCTCAACAGAGTTTAAATTGATCACAAAAATGACAGCTCTCTGAGCAAGGAGGAGCAACAGTCACTATGCGCTGAGTCATTAATAACCTAGAGGCTACAGTTTGGGGACAATTTTTAATAACTAACCCAAAGCATCTTTTACAGGAACGATAATGGCACAGATTCAGATTTGCCTCTTCCACTATTCTCTCTTTGTCTCTTCCTTGAAACGAGTAAATCTCAAAGCTCAGTATCTAGAATAGGAAGAGTATATCCTAGTGAGAGTAGGAAAAGAAAGGCTGACCAGATGGAATCTCTCATAAATCTCAACCAGAAATCATTATGAAGACAGCAATAAGAAAAATGTGAGTAAAAAACCTATTGTTCTTGAACCCTATACATAACAGGATGATACACATAGACTCGGTATTTCTTCAACCCTATATATAACACAGTGATAAAGCTAGACCCAGTGCTTCCGAGTAGTGTGTGGCTAAAAAATAATACTCTTTGAGAAGCAAAATATTTTTTGGGGGGGCCAAAATAACTGTTGAATGCTGACCTACAACTTACTTGCATATAGATATGGACTAAGATAATAAAAGGTATGAAGGAGAAGGAAAAAATGGACTGATTAGTATTTAAAATGCAAATATAAATATGTGGTAACATATTGAATTCTTTCTTTATAACTAATACAGCTTGATTTTAAGGGGCAGAATCTGTTATGTCTTAGGTTCCCTCATCTATCAATGGCAACAGTAACGAAAGGACTTTTTGTGAGGATCAGGTGCAAAGGTCTTGGAAAATGTTCAGCAGAAAAAGAATCTATTCTATATTGGTTTACACTATTGATGTCACCGTCATTATTATTAGTCATTACACACTAGTGCCTCTTACATCTCAGTATATTTTTTTAAAAAACAAAAAACGTAAATGTGTTTTAAAAAAGTTCTAACTGTATATACAAAGAAATGATCATTATCATTCATAATATTCTTTTCCAATCTGCAATGGTCTCCCCATCATTGGCATACTTTGTTGGAGTAACTGAAGAGTCTATAGTTTTACTTTATTATAATCTGTACACTGTTTAATTCCTGAAGTGGTTTTGGTGATATTTTAGGTTTTAGATACTAAAACAAACTGGGTCAGATACTGTTAATTCTAGAGTTGGTTGCAAAGAATGTAGCAAAGCTCATTCTGGTAGAAAAATAGAAATATTGATTAGTCAAATAAATGGTATAATGGCCAAGAAAATTATTTACTTGCCACTGATACACAAGTATTGAGCCTGCACCATAAACAAAAGTTTGGTGTGAGGTAGGGACTTGGCTGTCAAGGAGCTAATGACCTACTTAGGGAAGATAAATCAAAGACAATGACAGCTAAAAACTAACCCACGCTGACATACATGTGAAAAATGAGCGTGAAGCTCATTCCTACTTGCTTTTATCCTAGAAAAACTTACTATCTCCAATACTTGGTATGATGCCTTCTTTTTGTTTATAGGACGGCTGCTTAAGCAGAGGAGTCAGGAGTCAGTATGTGCATTTTGATACATGCTATTTAATGTGATCTCTGAAACATGTAAATTTTAGTCAGGGATATTCAAAGATTTTAATGGCATGAATTTCTTCAGGCTCCTTATCTGAAGGGACTAGATGAGATTAAGAGAACAGTCTTTTCTGTCAAGTTACTTTAAACTTCGTATTGGTACTGGAAGTGACTAATGCTCTCAAACTACGGAGTGGATATTCCATTTAACTCTTAGGTCGTCTCTATCTGCTGTACTGACATGTTTAATAACTAAGTCATGCTTACACGATGGGTAACGTACCTGTTCTCCTCTGTAGATGACATATTCGGCATATGCCAGCCCATTGACACTCGGTCTACCAATAACTGAGTGATGTCCGGGCGGGGCGTGGGCCATTTTCATGGTGCTGAATTGCAGAAAGGATTTTCCAAGGGTCACTCTACAGAAAAGCATTTGTCTGAAGAAGGAGGAAAGCAGTGCTGTGAAGGATGCTTCAAATTTTAGAATGATAGAATTGTTAAGTTTATTGATTTTAAAAAAATAACATAAGGCATGCTAATTTATTTCCAAATTTATGTGTATCAGTGGATGGTCCTTGAGATACCCATTTACTATAAACCAGTGGTGATGAACCTGTGGCATGCATGCTGTTTTTAAAACAAGAGATGTTAATGGATAAGTTTTTTTTTTTTTAAACGAAAACCTCAGTATTCAGGTTCAACTATAGTGCTGGCACTCTGCGATAAGTAGGTCCTGGGTTGCAGTTTGGGCACTCCTCTCTAAAAGGCTCACCATCGCTGCTATAAACAGTTACCAGGTATAGTATTTACATTTACAGTTTAAAGTAGTTTTGGTGGGGCTGATGACTCAATCCTAGAAAACACCCGGCATTAATTTGTGCCCAATGGAAAAGTGAAGTATTTGAGAAAACCATGATTTTACATGAATGGACAGGTGAAAAGTAAAGAAAATAAGCAGACGGAAACAATATCTGAAATTAAGACTGGAAAACATGGGGTGGGAAGTAAAAATTGTAATAAACAGTAATAATAAAAGCAGACTATAAACAAAAATACTTAGCTTCTTTAATATGGCTAGAAACTTTATTATCTGGGCAAACGAACTGGGGCAGATATTAAACATTATAGAGGACAAGAAAGATTATTGAGGGAAGAAAGTATATTATATTAACTATAACACATGGGCAAAATTCTGACTGTTACCTGTATTTGTAAGTACAATTTTACTGCAACAAAGCCCTGTATTCATTCATATATAGTTTATAGTTGTTTTTGTACTATAGAGAAGATCTAAGTTATTGTGACATCAATCATATGGCCTACAAAGCCTAAAATAATTACCTGCCTCCATAAAGAAAAAGTCAATTCCTAAGTGATAAATATTTTAATGAATCGGTCCAACTTATCACACTGTTAAATGTAAATAGTTTGTATCTAATCAAATTGCTTAGAGTAATGGGATATGATCTTTGTGCTATGACCAATCAGAGAGATTATTTTGAGTAAACTAAAATTTGTGCAGGACCTCACACAACTGGGACCTGCCTAGACTCTCTTTCATGAGATATACTAATGATCGTCTGGGATGTTGGGTTGGTATCAACTATACTCTTCAGTAGGTCCCTGAGGAAAGAGTCTTGCCCTACAAGAAAGTTTTTTGAGCTCCATCTCTACAATGTGGCAGCAGTATGCTGTCATTAAGATTCTGTGCATTTCCAGTCCATCTTGTGACACAACACTTAACCTGATTGACAGGCCCTACCCGCCCAGCTGCAAAAGTGCAAGTGGTAAGTACTGACTTGTGCTTTGTACAATCCCGCGTATTATGTAGATGCAGTACGCAAAAACACAGGGGTACCAATGCCCTCAGGGGCAAATGTTGGCCACTGTAAGAAGGGAGCCAGCAGATGTAATTCCCATTTCCCATTAATATACCTATATAATGTTCTCACATGAAGTATATAGTTCATATAGTTTCTCTCAAGATCTTATGGGCTAAACAATGAACTGCCCTTTCTATGAAGCTGTGGCCAGGCAGCGCACTCTACAGAGCTGTTCTGCTCTGCTTCCTTTTCTGCTTCTTTTGTGCCCTTACTCCTGCTTCCCTGGAACTGCATTTGTCAATGAAGTGTTGAATTCTCTCACTTTAGACTCTGTTTGCTAGGAAATCCTAGCTAAGACATAAACTTGTGTGTCTAATTATATTCCTCATCTAGGTTCACTTTTATTGCTTATTTAGGTTTCTTTTTTCTCTGCAGGAGTTATGTTTGAAACGATCTAACTTTTATATGTGATATGTCCTTAGGAATTTCTGTGTTCTGAACCACAGAGGTTACAGTGGAAAGACACTTCCCTCTGAACATATGGCATGCATCTTAGAACTGCTGGTGACTAGAAATTTTTTCACAAAACAGAAACAGATAAAGTTTTAAGGTCAATAGCTTATAAAGAATTTAAAGGTCATACTTTTTTTTAAGGCCTTAAGAAATCACAAGATATCTTCTTACCTTGACTTTGCAATTAGTTTATCTTCTGATTAGTTTAAAAAGAAATGTATAAATCTTGATCTTTCTAAAGGATAAATCTTCTGTATGATTTTATCATTGGCAGGAAAAGAAATACTGTTTTTTCCCCATTGAGTTCACAGAGAGTATGCTGCTATTCTCTCCTACTTCTGAATTTTAAAATCCTACTTAAAATGGTAATATTCATTCACTATTATTCCAAAGTTGATATTCTGAAGGTGGATTTTTTTAAGCTAATATATTCTGCCCCCAAACAAACAATATCACTAACACTACGAGAAGCAAAGTCAGTCTATTGACTGATACAAGCTGTGTGTCTTGCTCAAGTGTGACAAGACCTAGAGGCTTTCTGTGCCACAGAGATCATTCTCAGCCTTTCCTTGTTCTGATTCTGAAGCAAGCCGTGAAGAGCAGGGAGCAGTGCAGATGCAGGAGGATTCGTTGTAACCTACAGTTGGTAGGTGTGTGCCTGCTTTCACCACGGGGATCAGCAGCTCTGCCCTCATCACTCCGATCAGTGCAGAGGTTGCTCAGCTTTTCCCACCCTGCCTCTAGGCCTGTGTTTATTAGGAAGCGAGGCTGAAAATAACCTGTGACCTCTGCAGAGCCAGAGAAAGTAATCTGGTTGAAGGCAGCAACCGTTACAGAAAAGGCAAGACACTCACCTGTGACATATATAACAAGACCTGTCTTTGTGTGTGGGGCAGCCTGTTCCTCCTCCAATCCCGTAAACATACTGGTTGCTTTTTGAGGAATTTTCAGCAAAATAAATCCCAGCTCCAAACATTCCTCCAATGTATGCATGTCGTTCATCAAATCCTTTATGAATAATGGCATTAATGAAAGGAGAACCTAAAGATACAAAGAGAGATTGTTAAGTGTTTTCCTAGAATCTTAATTAGCTGGACATTATGTGCACTGAGTAGAATAACATTAAGTAATGATGCATAAGTAAACAAGTTTATTTTTTAAGATGACTCATTATACATATTGTTGTATTGAACTAGAATCTATCAGTGATCCATATAGTATTTGTCAACCAAGAATGCTATACGGATTTTGCAGACAGGATGAGATTTTAGCCAGGAAAGCACAAATTACCTTTAAAAGTATAGGCTATCTTACATGTAAACTTGCATGGGATAAACTAAATTAATGAAATTATAGCAAAAAAAAAAAAAATACTAAGTGGCTCGACTTGCAATTTAAATTCTGAAACAATTCCAGATAAATTACTTTCATTGCATATGTCTTGGAAAGCCTATAATAACATGTAATGCATTGGGAAGGCAGTATCATGTATGTGTATGAAAAACCACAATAAGCCATTTTAACACAAGCCTATTAAGGTTAATCACATAGGTTTCTTTTTTTGTTTTGTTTTGAACTTTTCTCATTTTACAAAAGCCGAGTCAAATGTGTACAATTACCGCACACTGCTCACCGTGAAATAACATGCGCTCGTTGTGATGGTTGTGGTTCTCTTCAGATACTTCCTTCTGTCTGTGACAGAATCGCTCTCTCAACTTCTTGTTGACAACTTTTTGAATCTTTATGAAAAAGAAAGAAGCTAGTTACCAGTAAAATGTAAGTTTAAGGTATAGTATTTGCTGTTTTGTATCAGACTAGGCCCCTACCTCAAACTCATGTCAGGATTTTAAAAATAAAAAAGAGGTTCTTCCTAGGCTTAATTAACTTTATGAAATGGAGTCATATAAGTCTGTGTTTTTAAATAAGCTCTCTGGTAAATTCTGATGGACAGCAGGGTAAGTTCCACAGGTTTGTTAACTCAAAGGGTTAAGCTCATTCTCGATAGATTTTACTCATGATGCCCCTTTGAAAAAGCATTAACAGTTATCTATTTATACTATAAATGAAGATGTTGACATTAAGAGATATATTTATTCTGGTATCATTACTGACTCAAGTAGATTGACAATCTGGACCTTTAATTCTACTTGCAAAAGATAAAAACCTTGGTACAGTCCACAAGTGTGGGTGAACTGGGGGACTCACATCCATAAATTCATCTCCACTGATCTTGCCTTCTGTTTATTTTTATTTTTTTATTTTTTGGGGGTTTTTCTCTGGTACCGGGAACCGAACTCACGACCTTGCGCTTGCCAGGCAGGCGCTTTTGCCACTGAGCTAAATCCCCAGCCCCCTTGCCTTCTGTTCAGAGGGATGGTATTTAAGGGTGTCTCAGTTTCTAGTGAGCCATGGTCCTGGGGCTGGAGGTTTTATTGTAGTGAGAATCTGGCATCAGGGCAACAGGTAACTATCTTTGACAGTTTGAAAATATGACTTAAATTTTTTTATTGTTTAGATTTGACTTTCAAGCAATCCTTGCCGTACACTTTTCACTACAAAAGTTTAAAACTTACTCGAATGACATTGTATCTGTTGAATATGCCACCAGCATTACCACCATCTCTATGTTCCCGAATAGTACTCTGCATCTATAAAACAAAATGCACTGATTAACATCATGAAAATACGCCACAGTGTAACAGTAATGATGTTCTTTCTGTTGTTTTCAATATTTCAATTCTGCTACACAGTTTCAACTAATGAATCTTAATTACTCAACAAATTTAGTAGATAAATATTTTTGTGAGAAAACACTCTTGAGTATTAAATTTATACATTTTCTGATAAAAGCTTTGAAAGATTTTTCCATAAACACAATCGAGAAACAGAAAAATGTCACTGTAAATCATCTACATTTACTATTTTATGCTATGGAGATTGAGAAGCAACATTGTGATTACATCAAAACTCTTCACACTGAATACTCCCTTAGAAAAAATTAAAAATAACTTCTAAAGATCCAATGTATTTTTCTTGCCAAGGTGAAGCATTCCACATTATTCCAACAGTCTTTAAATTAGGCGTTTGAAGTATATCTACATAGACAAGGGGAAGGTGACTATAATGTGCACCTAACTAAATGTAATAGATTTCTTCCCCACTATGCATTCTTCTACTCTAACTGAAATTATGAAAACTAAGACTGTTTTAAAGACCCGTGTTTCCTGGGCTGAGATGTAGTCAGTGGCAGAGCACTTGCCTAGCATATACAATGCCCTGAGCTCAAACCCCAACAAGGCTGGAGCAAAAAAAGGCAATAAAGTGCCAGAAGACACGATGCCCTCTTGAGTTGATGACTAATAAGCATAAGCCAAAATATTGCTCTGGGGTAATGGTCTTGATTTCCCAGCATGAGAGTGAAAATAATACACACATTGCTTAAAAACAAACAAACTTGAATGTGAGTACATCTTTATCCGCTTATGTATTTGCATAATTGTAGAATCAAGCAGCCTATTTATAATAATGAAATTATGGGTAAGAAGTGAGGCACAAGCCATCAACAGAAAGGGAATCTCCATGTCATTGATCTACCATGAGGTTCATACAAATAACCTTACTACAGTACTCGAGAATTATATGGCAGACTTCTGAAAGATATGTGAAAATTAGATATATTTTATAACTACATAAAAATAAAGATTAGAAGATACTTGCCATATATGAGGCAAGAGTTTTGCTCCACATTATCTTAGGTAGCATTCTAATATAAGAAATAGCTCCTTGCATGAGTTTCAAGGACATTTCTACATCAAAAAGCTAGATCTGTCATAAAATGAGACAGGCTTATCAAGTGAAAACAACGTGGCATAGTTCTAATCCAAAGTTAGATTTTAATTTTTGCAATACTCCATTATAATAGGTAAAGGAGACTGATTAGTATGTAAGGGATCATACACCAGTATAAGATGAACTTATGTCTTCCGGAAAAGTAGGCTAACTACAGTTTCAGGAAAATAAACAGTTTTGGAGTCCATTACCTCTTCTTCTACTGACTGATACTCTTTATCTTCTGGAGCAAGATCCAGTAAAATAGTTCCCTGATTTACACAGTGAAAAGTCAAATAAGGATTGGTTCCTGGGAGACAGAAAACAAATCAGCATATAAAACAAAATTCCATTCTACTCAAGGCTCTATTTTTGAGAAAAATTAGTCATAAATAATTCCCTTTCTGGTATGACTCTAAACTATTTTCAATTTGAATATCCAACATAAGGTTATATTAAACAAATATAACAAAGACAAGAAGAAATGGCAGTGTGCTTGGGGATCTATTTTATCTGTTGTTACTGAGCTCTCAGAACAGAGCAGGTCTCAACAAATACTTGTTGAACTGAAACTAATCATGAAGACAGTTCTGACACAAAAGGCTACCATTACAATGTAGTTAAGTCTAAAATACATGAATTATCCTCCAAAACTTTTTTGGGTGGCTTGAAAAGTGGCTTTACAATACATTATCCCTGTAATTTCATGGATGGTCTAAAATACAGATGAATAAGCATGAATCAAGTTCAAAACCCCCTTTTGTCAACTTTGAAATTTTATTAGCTCTGTAGATTGACTAATTCCCTTGGCTTCCTGTAGTGAAAGTATGTCCAACAAATAGAGAAATGACAAACACAAAGAAGAAAATTTATAAGAGGCTTGTAACAACAAAGGACAATGGAAAAAGACTGAGCTGACAGTCATGAGGGAGGGAGGGTGAAAGGTTCAAGGTCACATTATGAAGATCTGGGTTACAGTGTCTGATTTCATCCAAAAATCTATGGGATCCTTTTGAATGCTTTAAGCAATGGAGTGATTTTCTCATACACTGAGTGTGAAAAGTCCTCCAGTTACAGTGCAGAGAAGGTACTGGCAGGAGGCAAAGGTGAAAGTTGGAGAGAAGCTGGAACACACCTGAGACGGTCCAGGAGAGACTGGTGCTAGTGGCTTGAATTAGGTAAGAACAGTGGGAAAAACCAGAAGAGCGCTACAGAGGTTATGGAGGACTTAGGACAGAAAGTGTAGGGAAAGACAGCAGAATGATCCCAGATCTTTGGGCATGATGCGAGTGTGATGCCAATCATTGAGATGGGAAGGACATGAGATTCTGTGACAATTACATGCACAGACTTTGTGGTCACACTGCCTGACCTCTAACGCCAGCCCTGACATTAATCTTGTGTCACTAATTTCTGAAAATCTTTTCCAAATAGTTTACCTTGTTGTCCACCTAAAAGTCTTTCTACTCCTTTGATTAATTTGTGGCGGTGTCCATATGCATTGATGCCTATTTCTTTCAATTCTTCATGACCCATATCAGCCAACACATCTAGTGTAATCTGAAAAATGAAAAAAACCCAATTAGTTGCTGAATCTTTAACAGTTCCTCAGAGGACAAAAGCTCATCCATTTGTCTACAAAGCTATGATTACCATAGAAATTTTAAAGACTCTTTTTTTTCTTTGTAAGTATGACCTTACTATTTTCTTAAAGTTTCCTTGATTACCTTATCAGCTTTTTTCCCAATTTGAAATACTCTGTTTGCTTTAAATCAATGGGGAATTAAAAAGGGAAAAACAATAAGGCAGACATACAAAATGATCACTGCTATATTTCTCTTTGATGATTTACTTCTACAATCTTCTGTTTACCTTGAGACTTAGGGAGCAGTAGCTTGAAAATGGGGAAATCCCATATCCTAGAATCCAGCAGGTAATAGAAAGGAATGATAGGAGAAAGGGAGGGATGTTTGGTACAATTAAACAGACTGTGGTAAAAGGAGTAAGCAGTTTTAGATTAGCAGGTTTTAGGTAAAAATAAGGAAACTCCCACTACTAACATATATTCAAGGTAGGAACAGGCTGCCTAGAAAGTAGTGAGATTTAGATCTTAAGTATATATTAAGTTAGAGATCAGCTTATAGAGATGCTACCTAAAAACTTTCAGTTTGGACAAGGAAAGAGAGAGTAGATGGTTTTTAAATTTCTCACAGATTCTACGATTTAACAATTCCTGCTGCATAACACAGCCTGTTTTTGTGTAAGATAGTGGTTTGAAACTTCTGGTTATTTTCTCCTTGTAGATGGAGATGATTAGTTGGCTCAAAAGTATGGAATAACTGTACCTAACAAGTAAGTGGGACTGTACTACCACCCAGTGGCAGCGTTCTGAAGCATACAGAATAAAACCAGGCAGCTACATCTTTTCAGGGCTGATCTATAATTTCACAGCTTAGAAGTGGGCTCTGTGACAATCCAAACATAGCTTCTGATGTTTTATTTCCTTGGAAAACTAAGAAATCCTTTTATAGACATTCTTTTTCTAAGTCAAATGAGATATTTGTAGTCCAGCCATAGCTTTTTCTATCCTACTTGGGCATAACATTTAAAAAACTGACAAATTAGGCCTGGAGTTCTGCTGATTTTTCTTGTCAGAATGAAATATTGTATGAGTCTGATCATCTCAGTGCATCTCATGAGCACACATCACTTATTCTCTGAAGTAATTTAGCATATTGCTTCTAAGGGGCTGTTTAAGAAATAATTGCTCAACTGCAAAAAATGGGCAATTCACTTTGAATCACCCAAAGGAAGTTTTCATCAGAGCTTTTAAAAGCAACAGTTCTGAAATAGTTATCTTTGAAACAGAACAGTTCACAAAATAATAAGAACCTTTACATTTTTATTTAGATGTGCCTTTAATTACTATCTGTTAGTATTCTACTGCAAATACATGATAGATGGAAATAGCCCAAAGACTTGTGATTATCTGGATATAACAAATTCAAGGTTAAGAGGGAGTAACTTTAAAGATGATGTTCAGAAAGATATTTTTAGCAGCTTATAGGGATATAAACGTCATGAATCTTGGAATAACTCGTCTAAAATCCAATTCATCTGCTTTCCTTACAGTTTCTTTTATTGACACACTATTACAGAGGCACTTTGGTTCACAAACTTTTTGTTCTACAACCTTGGAAAAATTTGTTGTACACTTTTGGAAAAGATGTCCACGTTTGTGTTTGTGTGGGCAAGATGGTCACAGTCATTTCTGTAACCTGATGCAGAATTTGCAAACACAAACAAAATTTTGCCAAAAGCTTCTGTTGTAAGCCAAACTGTTTGCAAACAAAAGCATTCATGAACTGAGGTACTACTGTACTTGTTCAAATTAGGTTTATCAAGTGAAGAAGCATTTGAAATTCCACAATTATTTTGGATATGATTAGAATGAAGGGATATGGCTTTAATATGCCTGTAGTAGAGGATAATGTGTTAACACAAAAACCTTCAAAAAAGCAATGAGGTAAAAGAATTCTTACTGCTTTTAATATTCACCTAAACAATCTCTATAAATCAGAAGATGAATACACGGAAATTCTTATAGCACTCTCTTAAGCCCTCACCACCAAAAAGAAGACCCATGAGATGTGTTTACTAAAGTGTATCTTAGAAATTGGCACATTATGGCTTAGAATTATAACTCTCTGGACATTTGCAGGTATTTTACAGTTAAAGGAAGTGATAGGTTAAATACCTTTTAACCCAGATTTACACAGCTAGTAGAAGGCGAAAATAATTAGAATCAAGGTCTTCATTTAGTTCAAAGCTGCTTCTATTCAAGAATTTTGACTATTAAACGTGTTAGAGACGAACTATAATATAAAGAAATTATTTAGCAAAAAACAAGAAAAAGCATAAGAGAAAGAAAAAAAGACCGGGGGTTTTAATTAGCTACAGCTACATAGATGACTGTAAGTCTACAAAGAAGCCAGGGTGGGGCAAAGGCCAGTGAAGAATTTAGAAGCTATATCACATGAAGAATAACTGAAAAGGTCAGAATATTTCTGATAAAACAGGGTAGATTTGCAGAGGTAAGTGACTGGAGGGTAAACTCTATGATGAGTTGACTAGGTTTTTTTCTTTTTTTCTTTTCTTTTTGGTTCTTTTGGTTTTTTTCCGGTACCAGGAACTGAACTTACGACCTTGCACTTGCCAGGCAGGCGCTGTGCCGCTGAGCTAAATCCCCAGCCCCGAGTTGACTAGGTTTTAAAATACAAAAGCCTGTATTATGTTGCAGTGGACTGATTGGTGGCCCTCACAAATGTCAATGTTTTAACCCCTAGAGTCTGTGAATGTCACAGAAAAATGGGAGTTTCCAGATACAATTAAAGATCCGGAAAAGAGATCATTATCTAGTGTAGGGCACAAATTCAGTAAGAGAAACACAGAGGAAAAGATTACACGGGCAGGTCCTAAAGTCTTATAAAAGAAGCAGAGAGAAGGTAGATGGGCGAGAAAGTGATGTAAAGATGGAAGCAGGAACTGAAGGAATGTGAACGTAAGTCAAGGAAGCTGGAAGAGACCCGGGATGGCTTTGGTCTTAGAGCCTATAGGGTGTGCAGCCCTGATAGCATTTTGATTCAGACTTCTGAGGGAATAAATGTCTGTTTGGCCACCAAGTTTGTGGCAACTGATCAGGGCAGGCCTAGGAAACAATACAGATGCAGACTGCAGGATAGACTTCTGTGCAAAACTCAGTAAACCTGAGAAAATGGACTAAATATGGGGGCAGACTTGGACATAATTTAAGTTACAAGCATCCCTGCCTGGAAGACTGACATGGATAACCTAGAAGAGTGACTTAATGAGTTCTAAATACTTTGCCCATTCTAAGATTCCATGTATATACATAATTCTTAACTTAAACACAGGTGTTGGTCATCTTCCAGTATTTAATGCTGACAGTGGTAATGAACACATGCAATATGAAGAACTCATTATCCAGTATAAAAACAGCATGGAAATCGAAGGATCCTGATTCGTAAGTAACACTAGTGCAATGAGATGAATAAATGCTAACATATTTTTTGAAAGCAAAATTAAAAAAAAAAAAGACAATTTTGAAAACATTCTTTTGAGGTAGTTTCATGGTCTTGGCTTGTTAGTTTTTCCAGTGCTGGACAGTGAATTCAGGGTTTTGCTAGGTGAACTATGCTTCATCCCTCACAGTCTTAACGACAAAACAAGATAACAATTAAAGACTCTCAATTGCTCAGATAATTTATGATGGAAATATAAAATGGCTGCTATAGAAATGTATTACAGGTTTAAAAACAGTTGTTAAGAGGGAAAAATGGGTGGCAATTAATAACTCAATATTTAACTAAAGTCTCAAATATACACAAAACAATTTACCTGTTCTGTTTCAAAGATATCCCGAAGATGTTCAAGGCCAAGGCTTTTTAGGAATTGGCTGATATTCATGTCAAGACCCACAACTAGAACAGAAACATATTAAAATGAAGACTCTCAGAAAGAATTTCATGAATCTAAAGAAACTTTCAGTATCTACTTAAAGCCATGTTCCTTGGTTATATACAAGATTTTATATAGCATAACATAATTCAGAATACATAAATTTAATTCAGATATTTCAAGTTATCTCTGGGCTTGGTTGAGAAGTAAAAGGAGAGTGCTTTATCACATCAGTAGTATATGCATTTGTTCTGATGATATGGCTAGAATATAGTCTTAAAATACAGAATTTACAATATATGTAAGTATATAATATTGTAATTATGCTTCTATTAACATAAACTACTATTTTATATAGGCTAGCAATACTTTTGAATAATTAAAAAATCAAAATGTACTATTTAACTTACATTCCTTAAATAATCAGCTGTTTTCTAATGTAATGTCAGTAAGTAAGATTCACTCAGCAATTGTAAGATACTATGGTTGGAGATGGACATACTAGAATACAGTATAAACAAATAACAAGTAGATGCCAGGGAACATGGTAGGTTTCTATGGAGAAGTACTTCTTGTAAGATGTTGTCTGTTCAAGAATTTACAGACAGGACATTTTTAAGTGATGTGTTCAATAACTAACAACAGAAAAAAGTGAATGTGTTCCAGGAAAAAAAGGTATAAAGAAATAAGTGTTCACACACTACACTCACCTTCTCCTTCCTTCCTTTCTGTGCCGGCTGCCCCATCTCCTGCATTGGAGGCTCCTCCTACTGCCAACTCCGCTAAAGGGCCAGTGAGGTTATCTATGCTGCTGGCCGCAGACAGGCAGGAGGGGGTGGATGCTGGTGAGATCAGAGAAGCACTCACTACAGTTGCCTGAGGTTTAAAACAGGTAGGTAAAGCTTCCGGGGGCATGGCATCTATCAGCAAAGCTCTGATATCATCAGCCTAAAAAGAATAATTAAAAAACATACACAAAACACTATATTATAAATGTTAAGTTTTTCATTAAGTACCAAACATTTTGCCAACTTTTTCTTTAAGTGAAGGTCAGACAGGGAAACTGGAACCTGGAAGCAGTGCGTTACTGTAACAAAAACTATGACGAGGCTTTGGCTGGAGCCACTGAGGAAGCACGTGGCTGTCAGCAGCAGCTGGAAAACAGGCAGTTACTACTGAAGGCTAGAAATGGGAAGTGAACCATGCAGTGGTCTGCAAGCACTGGCACATGAAGTGCTACAGAAGGCAAAATGAACCTAGGAAATTTGGAGATTTGTCTTAGGCGAGCTTAAGAATGCGACTCTGCCAATCTGTTTTATTTGCCCACAACGAGTTACAGCAAGAGAGAAATGAACTAAGGAACTATTTTATTCTCTTTACGGAAATATATTCACTTAAGATATGCTAAGTTGGAAAATAAAATTATTCCTCATCCTCAACCTTCCTGCCTGCAAGAGTTTCTCAAAGAGGGGCTGGGGATTTAGCTCAGTGGCAGAGTGCCTGCCTGGCAAGCGTGAGGTCGTGAGTTCGATTCCCGGTACCAGAAAACAAAAAACCCAAGAGTTTCTCAAAGAAAAAACAGCTCAGGCAACACATCAAATATAGAGGCCCTGGGGCTGGGGATTTAGCTCAGTGGCACAGCGCCTGCTCAGCAAGCATAAGGTTGTGAGTTTGATCCCCGGTACCAGAAAAAAACAAAACAAAAAAACACACTATGACAAATATAGAGGCCCTCAGAGTAAAAATCAATTCACTGGTTTGGTTATATTCCCAAAGTCCTAACAAGACTCTTTAAGAGGTAGATTTTGAATTCTGAGCTAGATGGAAGAGCTTCTCTAAGAATCTTAAGGACATTGTTCCATAGTACCCTGACTTGCAATCCATATCAGAGCTTCTGTCCAATGCAACAGCATGTATCTAGATAGAAAAGTCAAGTTTACAACTATATCAGTTGGGACTAAAGGAACAGATAGATCAAAATGAAGAAAGGCTCTTGGTTTCCACATTTCTAGGGGCATGCAGCAGGTTGAAAAAGCCACTTAGCTGAAAATAGGGACCATTTCTTACAGAAAGGGTAGGATGAATCAGAAGATTCAGCCCAGTGTTACAGCAAGCCATGAAAACCACTCCTTGGGGGCAGAAGCGGGCTGCACAAGGACCACTTCCTGACTCCTGAGTAGATGGTTCTGAAAACATGTGCCTGAACTGGATTTCAGAACTGCTATGGACCAGTGACAGCTACCTGCCCATCTTGGGAGGGCTGTGAATACAATTTAAATGTGAGAGAAATGTACATAATTTGTGGCCATAGGGAAGGACACTGGTACATTAAAGACTACTACAAAATCTTTGCTTTGCCTTTAAAGGAAGTAGAGTCTATTTTTCTATCCTTTTATGTAAGCTGGTTGTTCACAACTTGCTATGCGCAAGAAAATGTGGTGGGCTTCATAGCCTTCAAGAGGAATGATAGCTTTTGCTATCTCCTTTTTTTGGTCTTTTTGAGACAGGGTCTTGCTATGCAGTTTAGGCTGGTCTTGAACTCAGTTTGTAGCCCAGGTTGGCCTCGAACTTATAATGATCCTCCTGCCTCAGCCTCCCAAGTGCTGGTATTACAGGCATGTGCCACCATGCCTGGCCACCACTGCCTTCTTGAAATGCAAAAAATCCTATTAAAAAACTGTAGCAAGATTACTTGATGAGACACCATATGGGGACTGACAGAATAGTTCCACCCTTCAGCCACCTCTGCCCCAAGCATATTATATTAGTGAAGCCATCTTTATGTTCCTGCTTCAGCCACCAGGTGTATGCAACTGCCCAAGTGACCCTAAGTGAGTTCAGTGTAAAACTATCCTAGCCAATGTAAGGAATCATGAGATATTACTAATCATTGTTGTTTTAAAATAGTTTTGAAATAGTCTGTTATTCAGCAATAGATAAATGAAATAGAATATAACATGGAAAAATTCTTTCTGGCTTAAAAATTATAATTGTGTGACTATTAAGTCCTGGACTTTCAAAAGTTCAGAAGTGATACAATGTTTAATTTAGCGATTAAATTTAATTCTTGGTTTTAAAAATATTTTACAGCATATTAATTGACTTTTCTATTTTCATAACATACTGCCCAGAGTGAATTTTTTTGTCTTTTTCATATTAATATATACATGTTATATATATACTTTAGTGGACATTATTCTACAGTAATATGCCATGTGTTTAAGATAGCTTGCTAAATGTAATTGAGGATCCATACTAGAACTAGGTTTTCCTATGATTCCTGTTTTCTCCTTCAAACTAACTTGAAGTAATTAATGAAGTTAATTTACTGCTTGGTTTATCTTAACAAAATTTTAAATATAACAAATGTAAACTTCAGAGAAATTTTCAGAAGAAAGTGTGTTCTTTTAATTTTTTATTAGTGCTTATTACTTTCCTGAGTGGTTTCACTGTGATACATTTATCAATGCATGTCTCACACTGATCATATTCACTCCCCACTAGATCCCTTTTTAGTTTCCCCTCTGGTTTTTTTTTTTTAGCCTTTAAATTTTTTTTTTTTAAATTTTAAAGAGGAAAAAAGTAACAAAGAAGACAAAAACAAAACAATAAAAATACAGGATTTCAACACAAGATGATAGGAATTAACAATAGTTGCTCTAGGGGCTGGGGATTTAGCTCAGCGGCAAAAGCGCCTGCCTGGCAAGCGCAAGGTCGTGAGTTCAGTTCCCGGTACCGGAGAAAAAACCAAAAAAAAACCCCCAAAAAAACAATAGTTGCTCTATTATATATTGTTATCTTCAATGAAGTTGCTCAGATTACCAGATGTAAGAATGCAAGATTGATCAAACAACTAAAGATAATAACAAGTAGTAATGAAAACATTAGAAACAATACAGAGCTTCATCAAACAAGATGATAGGAATTCAGCAATGGTTGTTATACTGTATAACAACCATTGTCAATGGTTGTTATACAGTATAACAACCATATATTGTCTTCAAGTAAGTTGTTCAGATTACCAGATATAAGCATGCAAAATTGGTCAAGAAAACAGAAAAAAATTTAAGCATTAACTGTTCCTTTCAATAAACCAACAAACATCAGCAATACACTTATCTCAGCTATCCTTGTGTATACATATATATTTTGTCTTTTTTTCTTTGATTTTAAAGAGAAAATATAAAAAAAAAAACAAAAACAAAGGCATAAACAAAACATAAAAATATACAGAATTTCAAAACAAGGCCATAAGAAAACAATAACGGTTGTTACTCTACACACTGTTATCCTCAAAGTAGTTACTCAGACAACCAGACACAGGCATGCAAGATTGATCAATTACACATTAATTGTTCCTTTCAATAAACCAATAGAAACTGGTATTACAATTAGCTTAACTCTCTTGTGTATATAAATATAGCTATTTCTACCATTTCTACTTTCTCTCTCATTTTTCTCTTTTCCCTCATCCCAGTTGTTCTTTCCAATTTGAGCAGTTTCTTTCCCTTTCTCCCTTCTATTTTTTATGTCATCTTTTTCTCTTTGCTTTTTCCTAGATTCTACATATGAGAGAAAACATGTAATACTTGTCTTTCTGAGTCTGGCTTAAGGAGATCTGTTCTTATTCTAAACAAAATGAACACTACTAAAGGTAAACCTATTGAGCTGGAGAAAGTAATGTCACCTCTGAAATTATTATGAACAAGAGCGAGTATCTGAAATCAGGACTTACTGTTGCCAGGTCTAAAGGTGTCTGACCTTCCTGGTTTTTCATAGTTGGATCTGCACCATGTGCTAGGAGCAGGGCACATAACTGTGTCCTTCCTTTTTGGGCTGCTTCATGAAGAGGAGTAAATGCCCACTTATCTGTTGCATTGACACACGTGTTGTATTTTATCAGTAACGCTGCTATGTCAACATGCTGAGGAAATAAAAGGACAAAAAAGGTTAAGAATGAGACAATCTGGAAGTTCCAACATGCACACTGTTTTCTTACAACAATTTACCTTTTCTATGTTTGTATTCTCAAACTTTATAGAAGTTTCTTCTAAAATAAACATAATATTTTGGCCCTCTATCTGTATTTTGGACTCTCCTCTTTTCTAGCTTCCTCCAAAAGTCTCAGTTCCACAAGTATTCTTTTATTCTTAATTCTGCCTGAGCTTTTTTCTTTTAACTCAACTGTCTAGCATAGCCAAGTCTATATTAAAAACAGGGGCTGAGGATTTAGCTCAGCGGCAAAGCGCCTGCCTGGCAAGCGCAAGGTCGTGAGTTCGGTTCCTGGTACCGGAGAAAAACAAAAAAAAAAAAAAAAAAAAAAAAAAAAATAAAAACAAATACATAAGATGAACTTGTACTTGATTCTAGGTCTTCTATTAGTAGTTTAACCAACCTGCCAAACTTCTCAGACAAGCAGTCTATATTACTACTTCTCTTAAAATCTTCCCATTTCTCTTCTAACCTGTTGTGATCTGACCTATTTATTAAAACACTCACCCAAAGATTCAAAATGCCTTTTTACCCAGCCTTTGGGAAAATAACAAAACATTCAGTTAGTTAACTCCTAAGAAAATCTTCCCATTGTTGACAATATGAAGTGAAGTGTGTGTGGGGACAGCACAATCATACTAAGGCTTCCAAGAACAGGACAAGTTTTGTGATCCTTTAGGGGTTATAAGACTATAATTAATTTTAGAGTTCAATTATTTTTAGGCTAACACCAAAGAAGAAAACAGAGGTACCATGTATGATACTATCAAAATCACTTAAAATAAAACTCTAGTCATTTATCTCTTTTATTCAAAGGATACAGACTGGAAAAACAATTTTTGTTTAGGCAGTCCAAAAGCATGGGATAATTTCAAGTTTCTCCTGAGTGAGGTTATAAGTTATTTATATTATATTTCTGATAACTATTTTTATTCTACTTCCATATTTACTGACAGCATAATACAATTTGGTAGACTAATGTACACAGGCTTCCAAAATTAGATAGTCAAAGAAAATTATGTGCTTCTCTATGTGTGTATGGAAGAAGCCAGTTGTATATCCAGTACGTATTATTAAACTTTCTTTATGTTGAATTTATAGTTTATACTTAGAGAAACTAATTATATTCTTGTTAAATTGTTGACAAATGTCTGAAAAAGCAGGAAGGAGTTCATTACTGTCCAAGTAGACCAAAAACACAATTCTTGGGCTCTGTAATTCTTTTAAGTAGCTATACCACTGGGGCAAAAATAGTAACTGATAATTAAGGCTGACAAATGCAGTAAATAAGCTGAAGCTCAGTTCTACTCACTCTATGAGAGCAAAGTACTGAACCGGAAAGCCTAGCAAACGAACTGAACTTTTGGAAAGTCTCCAGGAGAAGGAGTCAATTTAATAGGGTTTCAGAATCCAGCTGCAAGACAAACTGTTTTACACGACAAACACAACATAAAAAGACTAGGAAGGCCTTCGTTTAATTTTAGAAAGGTGGGACATGGAAGGAAGAGAAATGTGCTTGGGCTCCAGCTAAAGTAATATAATTGTTACAGGGGTTTTATCATGATGATGTCAGAAAATCCCTCTAATACCATACTTTTAAGGAAAACATTGGAAAATGAAAAAGTTGAGAAAGAAAACTAACAAGCTCTTCCGTGAGTGTCTTTAAAAGGTATGATAAAAACTGTGAATGCTACTGCCAAGTGCCACCCAACAGAGGCTCATAAGAAAGAACATGATAGTATGTCCTCATCTACTCCATTCACTGGATCTGGCCCTGCATGACTTCTGACTCTTCTCCAAAGTCAAAATGACCAAGAAAGGCAAATGTTTTGAATCAGTTTACAACACTGACGCAGCCATAATAGTGCAACTAAAGAGACAAAGGAGGACTTTCAGAATGCCTTCTAAAAGTGGCAAGAACAATGGACGTGTCCTGAGTGAGGGGGATGTTGAAGAGCATTATTGGCATATGTCCTGGCATATGTCCTGAGTGAGGGGGATGTTGAAGAGCATTATTGGCATATGTCTCTTACTGTAATAATTTTTAAGTTTAAATGTTCACTGTAGTTTTTGATTATGTTTCATACATGATATAACAAGCTGAGTGTAGTAGTACATGTCTGTAATCCCACAGACACACAACTAACTAAGTTCTCCACAGGGAAAAGGATAAATATGCATCAAGAAATAACCATCAACCAACATGGTAAAAATGGCCATACTCCTAAAATTGCTATACAGATTCAATGTAATCCCGATCAAAATACCATTAGTATACTTCATAGATCTAGAGAAAACATTTCTAAAATTCACCCAGAACCAGAAGAAACCTAATAGCAAAAGCAATCCTGGGCAAAAAAGGCAAGGATGGAGGCATCTCAATCCCTGACTTGAAATTATTCTACAAAGCTATTGTGATAAAATCAGCACGGTATTGGCAAAAACCAACCAACCAACCAATCAACCAACCAACCAACCAAACAAACAAACAAAAAAAAACAGACCTGAGGATCAGCAGAATAGAACAGATGATGCAGACAAAACTACAAACACACTCAGCCACCTTATCTTTGACAAAGGGGCCAAACATGCTCACTGGAAGAAAGACTCTTTAATAAACGGTGCTGGAAAACCAGGCTTTCTATATGCTAAAATAAAACTAGACCCATGTCTATCACCATACACTAAAGTCAAAATGGATCAAAGATCTAAATATTAAAACAGAAACACTCAATCTACTGGAAGAGAAAGTAGGTAGAAATCTTGAAGACATAGGGGTAGGCAGAGAGTTCATGAACAAAAACAAAACTGCATGGAAAATACTTCAAAGAATCAACATCTGAAGAAAGAACACACTTCAAAGATATCATCTTACTGAAAAGATTTTGCATATCATAAGAAATCACCAACAGAGAAAAAAGAAAATCCGCGAACTTGGAAAAAAAATTTAGCCAACTGTCCCTCAGACAAAAGACTTCTATCTAGAACATATAAAGAATTACAAAAAATCAGACCCCCAAAATTCAAAGACCCAATCCAAAATTGGGCTTCTGAAATGAATACACA